ATTCACAATTCTGAACCGATTTTAATTATTCCGTTTGCAATTGACAGTGTTTATAGTCCCATATGAAGTGTTGACCATTTAAACTGTCATTTTTCTTTGCGAAGCAAATATAGTTTGACAATATCAAATTATTTTTTAACACATATTTCCTTATTCTAAATTCAAATATATTCAATCTAACGTGTCTACAAAACATCTCGGTCGTTCATCGATGTTTTTTTATCCACAATTTTTTTATAAATATATATATTTTTTATTACACTTGTAAGTTACATATAATATAATGAATTTATAAATGTTGTGAGCAAGGGTGGACTTATCTCTGACAGAGATCTCTTCCAGTCAACCCAATACAGTGAGAAAGCATGTCGATAGCGGGCAGCTGAAGTGTTACAACTATTAATACACAAACAAATATACGGTTAAATAAGTTTTATTGAGGTTTTAGCTTGCAAGCTTGTCCTTTAGCTATTTTTATTAATATCATGTCCGTGGTAAATTGACAAACGTCAAACATATATTATTTTGAGATCTGGAAATGACCTACGTCAGTGTTCTAGTGAAATTTGTCATGCTTAGAAATTTATGACGCAAACACCAGCTGAACTGTGGATTTGTGTAAACGAATCGCACACAGACTGCAAACGCATTTATGTCAAACGTAGCGGTGAAAATTATTTTTCGTTTTTTGTAAATTATATATATATATATATATATATATATATATATATATATATTCTTTATTGCACTAAAATATACAGTAAGAACAATAAGTTAATAACTATATATATATTTCAAATATACAATATTAATACATACATATAAATAAGAATTTATATATATATATATATATATATATATATATATATATATATATATATATATATATATACAACTTAGAATGGTAAACAAGCTGACGGCCCACCTGATGGAAAGTGGTAACCGTATACACATGAGCAGTACCATGGACATAACAGAGTACCCCCATGCGTTGCCATTCCTGAGGACTCAGGTGTTATTCCTCTGTACCCTGTAAATTCACGCCATATCCCACCCTTCAAACCGAAACACAGCCATGCAAACACAACTGCTTCACGGTTGAAACACAAATGGGACAGACGTACCCAAGCAATCGACTTTTGTACAGTCTCCCTCTCTCTATTAGGTTATAGTTTATACGTATAGTACCAGTAATATGTTGTCTGTGGTTCTACCGATATTATAAATGAGTTTATATTGTTATATTTTTGTTGTTTAAATTATGTATATTGTGTTTACAGACTTTAGCTGTGTGTTTATGTTTTGATCATGCCGTGTACGCAAAGTTTTGGAGGATTAGCTTGAACAAAACATTATTGTACTGTATAAATTAATGTAACCATGTTAATTCTCTGTAATGTGTACCTATTGAAATAAAATAAAAATAAAAAATAAAATAAAATACGCGTTTCGTTACACGCTGTTTATCAAGATAAGTATATATGTTTCGATTCTATCATTAGACGTGTTCAAATAAAGTAATTATAATTTATGGTAAATCATTGTGATACTCAGGTTTTCTAAAAATATAAATATATCACGGTTTTACCCGTATCACTGTGTAACATCAGAACATATCTCTGACACACGTTTCCCCTAGCAAACATCTGTCCATCAAGTTCGTACCACGGTGCTGTACCCGAGCAAATATGAAGCCGCCATACCCATATCTTGAGAATAAACATAATCGCCCTATTTGTCCGAACTCTTCCACTGTCAGTGTCGAGATAAAGGGTTAAAATAGCCATTTTATACGTATCATAATATGATTCACTTTGTATACACAGCGGAATTTAATCCCGATGTTACAGATTAACCTAGTATTAATGGACTAATACAACTTCACCTGTGGATTATAAGAAATTAATGTGTTATGAATCAATCAATTATTTATTTGTGATAATTCATTGGTCAAAAATATAAATATAAATGATTCATATAAAATGCCGATTTTAACCACTAAACTTTTCGAGCACATTAATTACGGCTTGAATAAAAGAATAATTAATGTTATAAAATGACACTATTCGCCTGATCCTCAAGCTAGGATATCGTATGTTATAAAAAAAAAAACAGCCAAAATTTGGGAACAAAATCCAGCAGAACTTTCAGATCTAAGAGAATTTAGAAATATTCGATTCATAAAACGCGACATAAAATTTTTTAATTATGCCATTTTAGAATTTATGAATGGCGAAATTAGATCGTAAACGTTTATTTAATGGTTTAACGTTATTTCTAAATTAAAAGTGTATTTTGTAAGATCATCATCATCATCATCATATCAGCCGTTTTGTCCACTGCTAAACATAGGCCTCTTCCATAAGGGGAGTTTTGCCAGTTGACGTATTAAGAGGAACGTTGTAGCCCATTCGTTTTTTTTTTTATACAATTTAGAATGGCAAACAAGCTGACGGCACACCTGATGAAAAGTGGTAACCGTCGCCTACAGACATCATGGCAGTACCATGGACATAACAGAGTATACTGTTTCGCCCATGATACCTCCCATGCGTTGCCATTCTTGAGGACTTAGGTGTTATTCCTCTGTACCCAGTAAATTCACGCCATATCCCACCCTTCAAACCGAAACACAGCCATGCAAACACAACTGCTTCACGGTTGAAACACGAATGGGACAAAGGTACCCAAGCAATCGACTTTTGTACAAAGTCTCCCTCTGGTTCTTTTACTTTTTACCATCATCATCATCATATCAGCCGTTTTGTCCATTGTTAAATATAGGCCTTCCCTATAAGGAGAGTTTTGCCAGTAGTACGCTTGGTAGGCGAGTTGGTAACCGCAGTTAGGGTTTAGTGATGCTTTAAGACACAGCTGCCCATTCCTCGATCGTTAAATTTCCTAAGTCGCCTCTTACGATACCCACGGGAAAGGAAGGGGTGGCCTATCCTATGCTGGGACCACATGGCATTTTTTAGAATTTAGGACTTTATATATTTAAATCTGACAGAGAGGCAATTCAAATCTTATATTAAACAATTTTTATGTAAGAAAGCCTATTACAGGATAGACGAATTCATAGATGACAACATATCAAGTAAATAATTAGTTTATTAGCATACAACGTTATAATTTTATTTTCTCATTGCTTTCTTGATTTAATTGATTAATTTTAGAAATATGAAAGCGTAGCGGTTTTTTGTATTAATTGCCGCATGCATTCTTATGTAAAATGTGAATACTATAACTATCAGATGGCAATTGTGAGTAGCTTTGACGTGGTCTAGTGTTTTGAGTAGTCATGCTCACTAAAATGTCCAGACTTGTGGCGGCGTGGTGGGCCGGGTCATTGGGCTCCCTAAATATGGTCGAGCGCAGTGATGGCTGGCTCATCCGTCATACTCGTGAACGGGTGCTGCTTGTAGGGACTGGTCTGCTCTAATCACTATGACTGATTTCCTCTTATTAATTGTTTAACCAGTTGGTTATGTATTCAATATTTTTTTCTTTTTGAGTATTTAATTGAATTAGTGCTAATTGGTGGTTTGTATTCACACACTTAAACTTAAAAATGTAAAGCAATAATAAAATTATTTAAAAGAGCAACACGCAAGTTTCTTGCTCGTTCTTCTTGTGATGAGACAGCTTTCCGAACGAGCGGTAGATTAAAAAAAATGTAATGACTTTTCAAAAGTGCTTCAATGTAAGTTTATTTGAATAAATGATTTCTATTCTATTCTATTCTATTCTGTTATTTCCATTATGAGAAACATATATTGAAATATAATAAACATCTCTAGCATTGATTCATTGGTCCGATGAAAAAGCTAATTGAATCATACATAATATGATTTGTGTGAAGTAACTATTTTAACCATTCTGAAATTGGGTTTATAGAGGGATGCCCATTTTATGTCGCCCACGTACACAAACGTAAAATAATCGAATTGAGTTTAAAAAAATATTTGCTAATTTAGAATTTATATCGATGATTTATCTACCTATATCAATTAATTTACATACATACATATCTGTCACGCCTGTCTTCCATTAGGGTAGGCAGAAACAATGGAACGCCAAATGCTTCGATTCAAACAAACCTCTTTCGCTTCTTCCACATTCATCAATCTTGTCATACACGCTCGCCGGTTACGGGTACTTTTAATTTGGCCCTTCTTCAGCACGTCGCCTATTTGGTCGACATACGTCCGTCTAGGGCGGCCCCTACCGACATCTCCATTCATTCTTGCTCGATAAATCTCTTTCGTAATTCTTCTTTCATCCATCCTCTCCAAATGACCAAACCAACGCAACATTCCTTTTTCGATTTTGGTCACTACATCGACATTCAGTCCACACTTCTCTCTAATCACAATTAATTTATTTGGAACAAATATGAAATCTTGTTCCAGTTTGTGATTTATGTTCATAACATACTTTTTAGTCTAAAATATATATGATTTATCCCGACTCTTTGAAATTGGATCAGAATCGGAAGTTTCCTAATAACATAACACATATATGAATAGCTTGGTCAATACCGAATTCAGTTGAACGGTCGGATGTCTATTTTCGAATATGTTAAAAGTCTGTTATCTAATATTTTATTTTTTAGATAACAGTCTTTGAACATATTCTGGACGAGTGGCGGTCTTCCACCGTGCGTTGTTCAAGGCACTTTCTTCCACGCACAACCACTCTTTGGAATCAACTTGCAGCAGCAGTATTTCCGAACTGATACGAAATCATAACCTTCAAGAAAAGAGTATATTCCTTTTTAAAAGGCCGGCAGCACACCTACAATGTCTCTGGTATTGTGAGTGATCATGGGCGGCGGTAGTCACTTACCATCAGGTGAGACGTATGCTCGTTTGCTTCCTGTGGTATAAAAAAATCGTTATTGGGTCAATACATAGATATTGCGCCTAAACTATATAGATATTGCTATATATTACCCACCCCTAACTCGTTTTACTAAACTTTTGTTTGTTTGCCAACAGAGCGAGCAGTCGTCACCGTTCCGCCGATGGACGACGGGCAGCGGCGCGGGCAGCTCCTACAGGCACCACGACCATCGCAATATGTACAATAAGGTTGGTAGCGAATGGATCTCTTTTGTTTGAAATTAAAAAATACGCCCAGTAATAAACAATCGCCACAGATTAAAAACGTTTTTTTACAACTTCGAATGACAAACGAACTGATGGCCCACCTGATGGAAAGTGGTGACCGTCGCCTAAAGACATGAACTGTACCATGGACATAACAGAATATACTGTATTGCCCATGATACCCCTAACGCGGTGTCATTCCTGAGAACTAAGGTGCTATACCCCTGTACCCTTTAATTTCATTGTAAACCGAAACACAGCCATGCAAACACACAATAGAAACACGAATGGGAGAGAGTTACTCAAGGAAACGACTTTGTACAGTCTCCCTTTGATTATATGAAACAACTGTTTCCCGCAGCTTTTCTCGCGTGAATTATAATCAAAAGTAACCTATGTATTAATCCAGTATAATGACATCCATCTGTGTATGAAATTTCATTGAAATCCGTTTAGCTGTTAAAGCGTGACTCAGTAACAAACATCCATCCGAACATCTTTACAAACTTTTACGTTTTATATATTTGGTTACATATTTCCCGCGGCTTCACTTCACTTCACTTTGCCTTGCCACGATCGATAACCGATGACCAGATGGTCACCGCTGTACTATAGCATGGCTAAATTCTTGACTATACGCAATAGTAACGACTGTGAGTGTCGTAACCATGTACACTGCCCAATGATCGGTGGATGAACTGGAACCGTTCTGTTGTCAGCAGCAAATGAGCGAGGGCGCGGCGCCCGCGGCGGCGGCAAGCGGCGGCGTGGCGCGCTGGTCGCTGGGGCTGGAGCAGCTGCTGGCCGACCCCGCCGGGGCCGCCGCCTTCGCGCACTTCCTCTCCAAGGAGTTCGCCGCCGAAAACATACGGTACGTAGCATCTGCAGTTAACACGAGACAGATAGATAGGGACTCTATTGTTTCTTCTGAAAGATTACAATTGTAAACTTATTATAAGTATAAACACGAGGTTTTTTTAATGGATATTAGTGAAATGGTAACCCCGTCTGCATTAACGGTATACGCTGGCGGGGCACCAGTAAGGGATGATTGGTGAGAATGAAAAAGCAGATCAGTTAGCCCATCGCGATGAATCCGCCTGGAATTCTGTACCATGGTTTTCAGAAAGACCGCGGGGAGGTTGACCTGACAGAGGAAATTTTACTAGCCATGAAGCTGGTAGTTCATATTACTAACAATTGATTGCCATTAAGTTTTAGCTACATTTACAGAATCAGCATTTTATAATCCTTTCTGGAACTTTGTTTTATCTATAAAATATGTTTTTTATAAAGTTTCAAATATCTATCAGGTTCTGGTGGTCATGCGAGCAGTACAGCGCGACTGAGGACGCCGCGAAGCGTGCGGCGCTCGCCAACGAGATTTGGCAGCGCCACCTGGCGGAGGGCGCGTCCGAACCCGTCAACGTAGACGCGGCCGCGCGCCGCGCCGCCGCCCTCAGGCTCTACCAGGAGCCCTCGCCTGTCGACCTGTTCCAACAGGTATGCACTCACCACTCATTACATTGCATCTGTAACAGTAAACCGGTCTTCGGTCGTCGATCATCTGCGACGGAACGCCAATACATCGAATTGCTTACAATTTGTTACTTCCGATCACAATATTCTGCCGGCGGAAGATCGGCAACTCTGCATTGTAGTTTTTCGTACATATACATATATAAGCGTACCGTGACCATTCCTTATGGCAGTATATGGGGGAAGCCTATGTTCAGCGGTCTACGGTTAACGGCTGATGTCTATGATGATGATGATGATGATGATATGCGCAATACATCATATACTCTAGTAGCTTTTCCTGCGACAGAAGATCAGTAACAGAAGACACATCGAATGAGGTGCTTGCCTATTAAATTATATTAAAACCTGCTGCTGATTTTCACCACCGTACAAACCCGCCACAAACTAAAGTTTCATCCCAACCATCTGGACGAGAGGCGGTCTTCCACCGTGCGTTTTTCAAGGCACTTTCTTCCACGCACAACCACTCTTTGGAATCAACTTCCAGCAGCAGTATTTCCGAACCGATACGACAACATAACCTTCAAGAAAAGAGTATATTCCTTTTTAAAAGGCCGGCAGCACACCTGCGATGCCGCTGGTGTTGTGGGTGACCATGGGCGGCGGTAGTCACTTACCATCAGGTTGGCATGCTCGTTTGCCCCCTGTGTTGAAAAAAAAAACTCCTCATCTTTCTATATTTGAAGTTACCATTTCATCATACGGGTCTTTTTTACTGGATAATAATGGAATAGTAACCCCGCCTGCGCTATCGGTATACGCTGGCGGGGCACCAGTGAGGGGTGATAGGCGAGGGTGAAAAGGCAGGTCAATTAGCCCATCGTAATGAATACATATGGAATTCAGCACGATGGTTTCTAGAGGGAATCGCATAAAGGTCAACCGATCATGGTATATTGTTAGCAACGGGACTGGTAGCCCGCATTACTAACAATCCCTTTCCCCCAGAAGCCTAGTGTTAACCGTTTAGCACCCAAACTGCGCACTTCGCAGTTTAAATAACCGTTTGTGAAGTCGTTTTAACCAATGTTTAGATGCGGTTATTGAACTTTTGTAAAAAGCGACCACTTGTCTTTGATTTTACGCCGTTATTTGTTTTTGTTTAAATTTAAGCTGTTTATGTGAGGACAGCCAGAGTGAGTAAAACAGTAAACACAGCCATAATATAAATCAGTGAAGTTTCCACAATAAACTGACACATTAAATAATATTTAAACGAGAGCAGATGATTTTTATATATATATATATATATATATATATATATATATATATATATATATATATACATATTTATGATAAAATATAATAAAAAAGATATTTAATTGCGTTTTGTTTTAAGGTTTGTTTAAGCAAAATTATAAACTTATATCCCGGATTCGCACGGTTTTTTGAAAGTAACATGCAACTAGTGTTACTCATTGATATTTTTATATATTTATTCGGTGAAACAAAATTAAATTAATTACATAATTTTGGAGTTTACTCATTAAAAATGAACAAACATATGATCTTTACTCTTTATAAATAAAATTTGGATCAGATTATCTTATATTTGCATATTGGGTCAGCTAAAACATTGCACGTCGTACCCATAGGGATCTTTTGTGCTTCTCCTTACCTAATAGAATTATTTCATAGATCCTATGTGTTACCTTAACGATATCCCGCGGTTTAAGATATCTGTAGTCCCCTGGCTCAGATTAGGTTTGTAAGGACACCATAAAGATGGTGTGTTGCGTGGAGTTTGAGCATATTCCTTTTTAAAAGGCCGGCAGCACACCTGCAATGCCGTAGGTGTTGTGGGTGATCATGGGCGGCGGTAGTCACTTACCATCAGGTGAGCCGCATGCTCGTTTGCCTCCTGTGTTGTAAAAAAAAAAAAAAAAAAAAAAAAAGTTTGACCTGGTAGGAGGTTGTACTGAGTAAACAACGGGGTGGATAGTCTCCAAGACCGAAAATCTCCCCCCCCCCCTCCTCCTCCTTGATGGATAAGTCATCGTGGTGAAGATGATAGCCAATTCGCCTAATCTTTAATAGTTAAAACGATAATCTAGCTAAAGTGTGTGTCGGTTGCGCAGGCGCAGAAGCAGATCTTCAACGTGATGAAGTTCGACAGCTACCCGCGGTTCCTGCGCTCGGCCGAGCACGCCGAGTGCGCCCGCGCAGATTTACGCGGCCTGCCGTCGCCCTTCCTCACCGCCACCACCGCCGCCACTACCGGCGGCACAGACGGCGCCGCCTCGCCCAGCGCCAAGGTATAGCCCTTTATATTCTAATTCCATTTATTACTGTTTTTCAAACACAAATGGTTTGTAAACAGTAAACATAAAACTAAAACAGTAAAAATAAAACAGAAAAAGCATTGGTTGCCTCTAAATTTAAAAACAATTAGACCTAATTAATTTTTACCAGAGGGAGACTTTGTACAAAAGTCGATTGCTTGCGTACCTCTGTCCCATTCGTGTTTCAACCGTGAAGCAGTTGTGTTTGCATGGCTGTGTTTCGGTTTGAAGGATGGGATATGGCGGGAATTTACTGGGTACAGAAGAATAATATCTGAGTCCTCAGGAATGGCAACGCATGGGGGGTATCATGGGCGAAATAGTATACTCTGTTATGTTCATGGTACTGCTCATGTCTATAGGCGACGGTTACCACTTTCCATCAGGTGGACCGTCAACTTGTTTGATATTCTAAGTTGTATAAAAAAAATTGTATTAAAATGATCGCTTTCATGGACCTTGTCTTTGATGACGACAATGTGGGCGTAAGCCATGCTATAAAAAAATAATTAATAAAAATAATATCTTCCCGCAGTTAAAGAAGTCAGCAAGTAATGCGTCTGAGCGGCGTCGCAGCGGCGGAGCGTCGCTGCTGCCGTGGAAGCTGCGTGCGCCGTCCCGCGACCGCGGCCACCACCCGCCCGCGGACTCGCCGCCGCCCCCGCCTCCGCCTGTCACCGATGTAAGTAGCGTAGTGGTCGCCATATTTGTTTGATCTTTAACGTTCCGGGTTTTTTTGTAATGGCTGAAAATGGCATTGTTACCTCGTCTGCGCTATCAGTATATCTGGCAGGTCATCAGTGAGGAATGATAGGTGAGGATAAATTCAAATCACGATAGTTTCCAGGGGGAACCGCGCGCAGGTTGACCTGATAGGGTATATTGATAGCAACGGGGACTACCCTCCAGATTACTAACAATCCCTTCCTCTCCTAAGGTCCCGGGTTCGATTCCCGATCGGTTCTAAGAAGTGCCTCCAGATGTTCTTTGCCTGGTTCCTGAGTGTACAGAGTATGCTAGCTAGAAGATTAGATATATATATATATATATATATATATATATATATATATATATATATATATATATATATATATATATATATATATATATATTTTGTTTATTACATACTTTGAATAAGCAATAAGAGAAACCGTCGGCAAGGAGTCGAGGTTTTCTCTACAGACCACCACCATGGGGTTTTTCAAGAAGGGGTTATGAAAGCTTGTTATATGTTAACAACGCACATGTGACATTTGTTGTGTTATAAATATTCATAGGTTACGGTAACTGTTTGACATAAGACGGGCCGTATGCTTGTTTGCTACCATTGTAGTAAAAGCAAAAAGATATTATATAAATTAAAATGCGTTTGACAATTGTGTTAAGCCATACATCAGTCTCACCTATCATCCCCTCACTGGTGCCCCGCCAGCGTATACCGATAGCGCAGGCGGGGTTTACCACTCCATTATCACCCATTAAAAAATAACTTGCAACACCCTTTCTCGAGGGGGAAAGGGATTGTTAGTAATGGAGACTGAGAATCCCATTACTAGCAATATATCCAACCAGGTCGACCTCCACGCGGTTCTCCCTGGAAACTATCATGGTTCATTCCTGATGAATTCATCATGATGGGCTAACTGGCCTGTTTTCATTCTCATCTATCACCCTTCACTGGTGCTCTGCCAGCGTATCCCGTTAGCGCAGGCGGGGTTACCATACCATTTTCACCCATCAAAAAAAAAACACCCTTTCTCGTTCATAGCACAATAATAATGACGATATAAAATTAATTATTGTGAAACAGTGGCAGTAAGTATCACGTACAATTGGATGCGATAACGAAGGCAAATATTTGATGGACAGACACGTGATGCTATTTTCATATATATGTACATGTCTATGTACACAACTAAATATACACAACACACGTACTGAAATAGAACAGTGGTATATAACTTGTATAAATATGCTGTCACATGTATTTAATTACAAAACTAGAGGTTTGTCGGTCTTTATTTATTTATTTGTACTCGTAACAGGAAAACCTAGATTTATTTACATAAAAATTTTACTATAATATAAGAACAGTAAAGCCACTTATAGGTTTTCATGAATAGGTACCAGACTTTGTACAAAAGTCGATTACCCAAGCAACCTCTATCCCATTCGTGTTTCAACCGTGAAGCAGTTGTGTTTACATGGCTGTGTTTCGGTTTGAAGGGTGGGATATGGCGTGAATTTACTGGGTACGGAGGAATAACATCTGAGTCGTCAGGAATGGCAACGCATGGGGGTATCATGAGCGAAATAGTATACTCTGTTATGTCCACGGTACTGCTCATGTCTATAGGTGACGGTTACTACTTTCCATCAGGTGGGCCGTCAGCTTGTTTACCATTCTAAGTTGTATAAAAAAAACTTCTTATGTTTGTTACCTTAACCTCCATAATGTAATAAACTGATTCGAATCTTTCTTTATCTGAAAGTATATACTTATAAATGTGTGGGTGCCTGAGACGGATAATTCTCTTAGATTGTATCATATAGATAGAGTTTCTCCATACAAATAATTCGAGAAAAGCGGGACAACTTTTTCATACAATTTTGCGTGATAGTTATGATTCCTTTGAACATTCTATATTTAGTTTCTTTTATAATTTTTGCATTTTTTGAATAAATAAATATAGACGCGTTAAGAGACATTATGTGCGTAAGTATATAGAACACTGATAAAAAAACAAGTCGGCTAATTTGACAATTAGCTGACAAAAAGTTGACCCGTTTTTGAGGATCGATGCTCTATCTATATAATCTATATTATATCTCTTTGGGTTATTTATGTGAGGCAAGCATTGTCAAATATAAACATATAGGGGGGAAAGGGATTGTTAGTAATGGAGACTGAGAATCCCATTGCTAGCAATATACCCGGCCAGGTTGATCTGCTCGCGGTTCTCCCTGGAAACTATCATGATTAATTCCAGATGAATTCATCATGATGGGCTAACTGGCCTGTTTTTATTCTCATCTATCACCCTTCACTGGTGCTGCGCCAGCGTATCCCGTTAGCGCAGGCGGGGTTACCATACCATTTTCTCCCATAAAAAAAAACACTATGGTTTCCAGGGGGAACCGCGTGGAGGTCGACCTAATAGGGGTTGTATTGCTAGCAATGAGGATGTTAAATCTCATTATTAACAATCCCTTTCCCCCCGCAATTACCTAGTTAGGCATTTACGTCATTTACACGAGTTTTGGGTGTGGTGCAGTGTCAGCGGTCTCGATGGTGGCTCGCTTTGTAACTAAGCTATGAAATCCACATGATGGTTGGTAGGTGGTGAAGTCGAGCCAGCTGGCGGCCGGGCAGTGCTCACTGTGCCGCGTGGTGCTGCCGGACGGCGCCACGTCCGTGGTGGGCGTGCAGGAGTCGCTGACGGTGCGGCGGCTGGTGGACCGCCTGCTGCAGCGCCGCAACCTCGTCTGCACAACCTACGACGTCCTGCTCAAGGAGGGCAATCAGGTCAGCCTCTTGTACTTTCATCTTTTATTACCTGCACTTCACAATTTCTCGCCAAACAAGCTGATATTAACCATCTATAGACATAAACAGCACCGTGGACATTTTACTATTATGGCAAACATGTATTGGTGTATTTAATGCCATTCTACAATTGTTTCAGCGTTCTTAATCATCATCATTATATCAACCTTTAACTGTCCATTGCTGACCTTAAGGCTCCCCATTGGGGGGGGGGGGTTTGCTAGTAGTTGCCACTATGTAATATTGAAATTATATTGTATAATGCTGGTTCGACGATGATATGTTGATTGGTTTTTCATGCAATTTGACTAACAGTAGGAAATTGTATACTACTTACTGTGTTAGCGTTCTGTCGCGGATGATCGGTGACCGAAGATCAGCTTAATGTGACATTAGTTATGGTTAGCGCCTCATTCGGTCTATTCGGTGACGATCGCTTATTTTTGATAACGGAAGATCGGCGGCCGAATGTATCAGTTACAATATATCTTTAAGACCGGTTTTCGAGATATCGACTAATAAGAGTGTATTGCGTGTAATTCAACGTATCCATTGCGGTGGATCGGCGATCGGTTGCGGAAGATCGGCGACCGAAAATCGCTTTGGGAGAGTTAGGCTAAAAGACGTTGCGGGTGGGCAGGTGTGCGGCACGCCGGTGGAGCTGGCGGCGCCGTCGGCGGTGCTGGGCGGGCGCGAGGCCGTGGTGGAGCGGCGCGCGGCCGTGCGCCTGGAGCTGGGCGGGCGCGTGCTGCACGTGCGCGCGCGCGCCTCGCGCCGCCTGCGCCACGTGCTGCGGCCCGTGCTGCAGCGCTACCAGCCGCGCCGCGCCGCCGCGCGCCGCGTGCTGCGCGACGGGCTGCACGTGCACCCCGACACGCTCATGCAGGTCTGTCTGTCCGCCCGCCCGCCCGCCTGCTACCTGTGTGCTGCATGCTGCGGCCCGTGCTGCAGCGCTACCAGCCGCGCCGCGCCGCCGCGCGCCGCGTGCTGCGCGACGGGCTGCACGTGCACCCCGACACGCTCATGCAGGTCTGTCTGTCCGCCCGCCCGCCCGCCTGCTACCTGTGTGCTGCATGCTGCGGCCCGTGCTGCAGCGCTACCAGCCGCGCCGCGCCGCCGCGCGCCGACACGCTGCTGCGCGACGTGTGCTGCACGTGCACCCCGACACGCTCATGCAGGTCTGTCTGTCCGCCCGCCCGCCCGCCTGCTACCTGTGTGCTGCATGCTGCGGCCCGTGCTGCAGCGCTACCAGCCGCGCCGCGCCGCCGCGCGCCGCGTGCTGCGCGACGGGCTGCACGTGCACCCCGACACGCTCATGCAGGTCTGTCTGTCCGCCCGCCCGCCCGCCTGCTACCTGTGTGCTGCATGCTGCGGCCCGTGCTGCAGCGCTACCAGCCGCGCCGCGCCGCCGCGCGCCGCGTGCTGCGCGACGGGCTGCACGCCGCGCCGCCGCGCGCCGCGTGCACCCCGACACGCTCATGCAGGTCTGTCTGTCCGCCCGCCCGCCCGCCTGCTACCTGTGTGCTGCATGCTGCGGCCCGTGCTGCAGCGCTACCAGCCGCGCCGCGCCGCCGCGCGCCGCGTGCTGCGCGACGGGCTGCACGTGCACCCCGACACGCTCATGCAGGTCTGTCTGTCCGCCCGCCCGCCCGCCTGCTACCTGTGTGCTGCATGCTGCGGCCCGTGCTGCAGCGCTACCAGCCGCGCCGCGCCGCCGCGCGCCGCGTGCTGCAGCGCTACCAGCCGCGGTCCCTACAACTATACGTCAACATTTCTAATTTTTAATTTAATATATGATCCTTGAGAACTCCGAGACTTTTATGTAGCTACCACAAAGTATTAACGATAAATATTCTTGACCTCTTTTACTATAAGAAGAAAAAAAAACATTTAAAACTAAATTAGGGTAGAAGTTATGTATAAAATTACATTTATCTTAGTGCGTACTGACGTAAATGTTGCGTACGTATGCGTAATGTATAAATGTGAATAAACCGGTGGCATAGATAGTGAAAGATGCAATGTATGTTGTGCAGGAGCTGGACGGCGCGCGGCTGCAGGTAGTGGAGGTGGCGGAAGCGGCGGACGGCGAGTGCGCGGCCGACGACCGCGACGACGACGGCGACTCGCTCAGCGACCTGGCGCTGCGCCTGCACGACGACGACGCGCAGGTACACGGCCGACAAGCTCACACACACACACACACACATGCCTAACACTCTACACTGTAGTATCATTAGTGGGGGGGGGGTCCATATTTGACACTTCATAGGAGAGCAAGAAAAAAACATATAATTCATATTTGTTTAGTATATTATGTTCACGTACTGGCCACTAATAATATTGTAAGTACTGGCCGGTAACAATCTGTTCCATCTATTCTTTTAATGAACAAATCAGTGTTCAACCAATTTGCTTGCGTATTACTAATATTTCTGTTTAATTGTCAATAAAATTGTCATAGTAATAATAATACAATAATATTGCAGAGCGTGAGCACTTGCTGCAGCGCGCGCGCGCCGTCCCCGCCGCCGCCCTCCTCCGCCGGCGCGGCCTGCTCGGGCCCGGCCTCCTCGGGCCTGGTCTCCTCGGGCCCGGCCTCCTCCGCCGGCCCGGCCTCCTCCGGCCGCGTCCGCGCCGCGCTCCGCCCCGGGCCTCCACTACACCACCATCCTCCAGGTACCATATGGAATTTGCATCTCTAATACCTAAGCGAAACGAATGCTTTTTTTTAATGGGTGAAGATGGAATGCTAACCCCGCCTGCGCCGTCGGTATGCGCTGGCGGGGCATTAGTGAGGTGATAGGTGAGGATGAAATCAAGTCAATTGGTCCATCGTGACCATCAATTATTAAGCACAATGGTTTTTAGGGAGAACCGCGTGGAGGTCGACCTGTAAGGACATATTGCTGGTAATCCTCCCCCGAAACGACTACTATGTATATTTACAATAGTTAAAGGATTTAAATAGTAAAAATAATATTTATATTTTTATTTCAGACTTCCTAGAGAATCTCCGAGAAACACAACGTCAGAGACTACACAGCAAGGACGGGCCGCTCCCCTCGCCCCCCTCCCCGTCAGCGCGTCCGCCACCACCACTACCGCCCAAACCGCCGCAGCGAACCCCCACTGTCGTCTGACTAGCCAGCCATATCTACTGGGAATGATATGTCACCATAAGGTCACCGGCGAGAAATTCTTCAAAACGGGAGAGAATCGCCCTAATATCATAAGTTCATCGGCGGGAAACTCAACGAAATGGGAGAGATACGTCGCCTTAATAGGGTCACCGACGGGAAACGCATCGAAAAGACACACGTGGCCTTAATTTTATAAAGTCACCGGCGGGAACTCGTGGAAATGTCCCATCAGATGGATAAACGCTTTAAATGGTTACTACGTATGTGCACAGATCAAGAATATGTAATATTTTTACACTGTGAATAACTGTTATAAAAACTTATACTGTTGTACAGTTGAAATTCGATTTTGTTAGCTAAATAGTTGCGTGCGGTCTTTTAAAATATTTTTCGCGCCAACGCTCAGGTTGTGGAATGAGTGTACTCAAAAAATTACAGTAAATTTTTCAAGGCGGGGAAATGGTCACGCCTCACATCTCCACTCACGATGCAGGCGTCAAGATAAAACGTTTGCCATCAGCCGTGTCGTATGCCTGTTTACTGTATTATAGTATGTTAACCAGTTACGTCACTATGATGTGTCGTATATGGTACATGAAACCTCAAGTTTTGGTGCTTACCGTGACACTAAACAAGTAATTGTATAAACACTTTGTACCTTTTAATTTTACATTTTGTTAAATAAAGTAATTTATTTAAAGTGCTCTCCGTTTTGGTAACAATTTAAAAAGTGAAGTAATGACACGAACAGACTCGAATAAATATAAAGTAAAAATGTTTAAAATAATTAGATTTTCCAAAATAGAATCATCAATCATTATGAAGAAGTTTTTTCATTAATAATACATACATACATACATACATACATACTTATCTGTCACGCCTGTCTCCCATTAGGGTAGGCAGAAACAATGGTAATAAATGGTTAATTAATAAATGGTTGAATAATATTTATTCCTTATGCAACAATATAACAAGACAGATAATATATACATATATAATTTCTCTGTAATTCACAAAATCTTAAATGACCCATAAAACCCTATTTTAATATATTAGAATAATTTTAAATTATTCTATAAAGATAAGGTCTTTAGAATTAGTAATATAGACGATTTTATAAACAAGAGCATTATTTCATATCGTGTCTGTAACATTAATATCTGGCAAAACCAAAACATGTTTAATAACCAATTATATATATATATATATATATATATATATATATATATATATATATATATATATATATATATATATATATATATATATATATATATATATTCGATGCATTTAGTAATATTTATGGACATAGGAACAATTTTTAACAAAGGTACGTTCACAGTGGACCCGTCTTTCTTTAACGTAATTCTTTTACGATCTGCTATGGATTAATGCTTTAATAAATTTAAGTGAAACGTTTGGTTTTTATAATCCATTCCATAAACGAACGATTGTACAAGTAGACAGTGAGGTTGAAACAGTTGTTTTTGTATTATTATTGTAAATAAGTTATGAATTAAACAAAAAAAAAATGATGCCTTCCATAGTGTATAAGACTGCACTAAAAAATTTAATTTAGATATTTAGATATATGAACGTGTATAGTGCCTCTTCAAATCTCAGTGTAGGGTAATGGCGATTAACCTATTTTAAAAAATTAAAATACTATTGTCATTTGGTAATCTGTTTAAACCTGTAATAGTGCATTTTATTATTAGTATAAATAAAATAGAATTTAGTAGTTTATGTAACTAGATAAAGGAAAAAATCATAACATTGGTTCTGTAAATATATTCACAAGTTGACAATTTCGTCTTCAATTTATTATTTATCGTTTCGACTAGTTCATTTGTTGGAGATAATAATCAAGGAATATTTTACTTACTCTTTTTTTTTTTAAATATATGTGGAGGTAGCTCAAAAGAAACCGTATTTTAGCAATATTTAACACCAGAGGGAGACTTTGTACAAAAGTCGTTTGCTTGGCCACCTCTGTCTCATTCGTGTTTCAACCGTGAAGCAGTTGCGTTTGCATGGCTGTGTTTCGGTTTGAAGGGTGGGATATGGCAGTGAATTTATAGGGTACAGAGGAATAACACCTGAGTCCTCAGGAATGGCAACGCATGGGGGTATCATGGGCGAAACAGTATACTCTGTTATGTCCATGGTACTGCTCATGTCTATAGGCGACGGTTACCACTTTCCATCAGGTGGGCCGTCAGCTTGTTTACCATTCTAAATTGCAGAAAAAATTTTAAACTCTAAAATGCTTAAATCGTATTCACTATGATTTCTTTATATCCGCCAATACCCGACCACTCACAAACACTCAGAGGCATTCACTAACAAGAAATTAAATTATAAAAATGTGTAGTATATATAATGTAGGTACTATATTAGTTAATTTATTGTTATAGAACTTTGATGTTTAAAGTCATCGATATACAAACACTCTAGATACACTATCGACAAAGACTAAAGCGATACTGAAATCAGAGAGTATTTTACCTCTCATTTTCAATGCACTTAGAAAAGTGGGTTCTTTTTTTTTGCAATTACAATTTGGTTGCATTTTTTTTATGGTTGTATCGTTATAAAAATCCTAATCGATTTATAACTGAGTTTTTTTTTTTTTTTATCTGAAAGCATATATGTATAATATATATATAAGTCACAATTGAATTATTTCTTTTCTATCCTTATCTTCGAATGCTTTTTTGCTGGGACACGATGTTTAATTAATTAATTTTGCGCTTACAATCCAATGATATTTATAGTCAAGTATATTGAAATATTTTTACAATTTTTGTAAAAATTTAACGTCTGGATAAGGAGTTCCATTATTACGTAAGTAATTATTATTATTAGTAAATAGGGTACAGAGGAATAACACCAGAGTCCTCAGGAATGGCAACGCATGAAGAGTATCATGAGGGAAACAATACTCTTTTATGTCCATGATACTGCTTCTGTCTATTTTTTATTTGTTATTCTAAGATGCAAAAAAAAAAGAAATTATTCTACTTATGCTGCTATGATGTTTTTTTTTTATTGAAATTCGGGACAGTCTAGTGTCATATTTGTACGGAATGAATCTTGGGTTTTTTGTATATCTATGTTTGTAGTGCTTAAATGTTGCACTAATATTTTGATTATTGTTATAGAACAAATTGGTTGCTAAGACACAAGTGATTGAATTTAGGTACCTATCCTGATTGAATTGGATAGCAATAAAGTGAATTTCCAAGTGTTTCCACTTTTTATTTCTTATCTACCTACTTACTTAACCCACAGGTACTGTATTAAAGTTTGAATGAATTCGCCAGCGTATCCCGTTAGTGCGCAGGCGGGGTTACCATACCATTTTCACCCATCAAAAAAAAAACGGTATACGCTAGCGAGGTACCAGTGAAGGATGATAGATGAGAATGAAAAGCCAGGTCAGATAGCCCATCGTGATGAACACACCTGGAATTCAGTACAGTGGTTTCCAGGAGAGACCACATGGAGGTCGACCTGACCAGCGATATACTCTATTGCTAGCAATGGAACTGGTAGTTCGCATTACTAACAATCTGTTCCACCTAATTAAATATTTAGAATCCTGTGGTATTTTTTTTTGCGTGATTATGGACTGGTAACTGCCTGCGGTATTTGTATAAGCAAGTAGGGCGCCAGTGACGTGGCATATAAAGGGGTTTGAGTTCCGTCTAAACTGTTTTCTTCAATCTTACGAATCATTATGAAATTTGGTAATACAATTTCGTAATATTTGCGATAGAGGTCATAGAAGGAGAAGGATACGGACGAAGTTACGGGTAAACACAGCTATTAATACTCATCCAAAATAAAACCTAAACTATTTATTCATATATCTACAAGATTATTTATCAGCTATAGCTGGAGTTTCTTCCACCTTTGCTTCTGGCACTGGTTCGGGCTCCGGCTTCCATTGCGTTAGCTTTGACGGCTCCTTGGGAGGCGCCCAGTCTGGTATGATCTTGTCGTGTATCCGCCAAGTCCCATACATGTTGGAGAGATGTTTTTCAAAGACTACATACTCGAGCACGTCTTTCGCTAGGATTTCGCTGCCGTGAATGAGCCGCCCGAAGCGATCATACACGGCGAGTTGTTGCCGTGTGTGGAACCGGACAGTAACCTGAAAAACACAAGGTCCACAGTCAATAGCGTTTTATAGATTTAATCCTGTTTCTCAAGTGGTTATACTCTGGGTTCGATGCACGCGTCCGCGTAGTCTAACTTCAGGCTGCAGCTGTAAATCATTGCTTTGCTTTTAAGCAAAACTATCACGTGAGCTGTAGCCTATTTGAGTCACTGCGACACACATGGTAAAAACATATTTTCGTATTTATCTTTTATGTTAAAAAAAAAATATTAATTTGATTGTATGAACTCATTTGTTAATTTAACGTGTGTCATAAATGCCTCAAATAAAGAGTTTTATCTATCTATTAATCTACCTATCGAGTGAAATACCACTGAAAATCAGCGCTGCAGCACCACACTGCAACTTAAGCTGAATGGGGACCATTTCAGCTGTTACCAATAAATTATTATTTTATAAAGTATAAAGTTGTCATTAATTTTCTTGTTTTGTAACAGAATAAATGATTTCATTAATAAAATAAATAAATAAAAATAATCACAATTACAAACCTGCCCAAAAATATTTTCTTTTGAAACAACATCAGTACACCGGGCGTGTACAATTCTGGGAGGTTCCAAAGACTCCAAGAACCTCCATCTGAGGGTTTTTTGATGTGAATTGTGCCTAAATTCTGGATAAGCCTTCTCTGTAACATATTCACGGAGTGCCTTCTTGTCGCCATTTACTAAACTTTCATGTGCTGCAATATAAATCTTCTGAGCTAATTGTGGGAACTCTTTGGATTCGAAATCCTCCTCGTAAGACTTTATTTTGCGGATGGCCATCATGGATTTTGATTTTTTCTCAAGGAGTTCCACGGTTTGTTTGGCACGAGTGGTTGATACAATAGAAGCCTTACCATCTCCCTCTGGTGGAACATATGGTTCAAATACTCCACCTGGAATTATAATTTATATACATTATGATAAATGTATAGAAGTATTATCATCACAATATTAGTTATTAACTGTCCACTGTTGATCATAGACCTCCCCCTATTTGATCCTCCCCCTATGGGGATTTTTCCAGTAGTTGCCACACTTGGCAGGTAGGTTGGCAACCATAGTTTTTTTTATGGATGATAATGGAATGGTTACCCCGCCTTCGCTATCAGTATATGTCAGCCGGGTACCAGTGAAGGATGATTGGTGAAGGTGAAAAGGCAGGTCAGTTAGCCCATTGTGACAAATTTAAGGAAAAATTAGTCATGATGGTTTTCAGGGGGAACCGCGTGGAGGTCGACCTGATAAGGTATATTGTTAGTAATGAGAACTAACCTCCCCATTACTAACAATCCCTTCCCCTCTGGCAATCATAGTTAGGCTTTAGTGATGTTAAAAGGAAAGGCTATTGCTTATTCCTCAACCATTAAGTTCTCTCAGTTGCCTGTTATGATAGTCATGGGGGTCAGCCCATTCTGTGTTGGGACCACATGGAGATCTTGGATTAATTTTTTTTTATAAGATAAATAAATAAAAATATAACAAAAAAGGTATATATTTTAATATTTTTTTTAATAACTCTTTATTGCACCAAAAACATAAAAATAAACAATTTGGAACATCACATGAGTACACTTAAAATCTGGTAATTTGTTACATGTGCACTGAAGTAATTTAGTAACCACAAATATTTAAAATAAGAAATGAATGTAAGGTCAAGATCTGTTGTCATTTATTTATTACTATTTCATTTAATATAAGAGTTGGTATACCTGTGGCAGATATATAGAATGGTCGCTCCATCCACTGTCTTGGTGGTAAAACTCCCCGCTCCTTCATTTTTTGCCTGATCCTTTCTGGTGACATAGCACTTATATCCTCATTATAGTCAGGCAACTCAAATTTCATATACTTCTGAGCTCTAAGCTTTTTGAACTTGGGATCCCAATGTTTTGATGTTGTAGTACGAACTGGGTGAATGTAGATAGCTGCTGGGCCTAACCGCAAGGTTCCCATCTGAGGATTAAAAAATAATCATCAAAATTGGTTACAAATGAACCACAATATTACATTAATATTAAACTAAAATTAAGTATATAAAAAATAATAATAAACAATTAAGAAATAATTGTATTGATGGTGTTAATTGCTGGCACTTGTTATTCAATGACTGAAAATTCGTAAAAAATAAATAGGTAAACGTTGAATAGTACAAGGGAACTTTAAAAGTACTTACCTTGGATAGCAATGAATTAGCCATAGTGGTATTTGTGTAGTTACTATAAACTAATAAAGTGGTATTAACATTTGTTTTACAATTTTTATAAAGATAAATGTCTAATTTAGTGACAAAAGTCTTAAGATTTTATTTATAACCTCAATTTTGTCTAATAAAAATAGTGTTTTCCTACAAAACGAAGTGTCAATTTGCTGTCAAAGATTTTCAAGTGACGTCAGTCAATTGAGCATATTTTAAGTTACGTCAGTATCTTTTTATTATGATAAAAATATGGTTGATAAACAGGGTCGGTATTTTTGATATTCAACAAAACTTACTAAGAGAAAAAAGTACACTCGCTTTCATATATCATTATTTTTACAATTAAAAACTATTTGTAATTTTCTTTCACATTATTAAAATTAACTTCAGAAGAACGTTCCTATATTTTAGAAAAAAATGTCTATGGTCTTTTGTTTTTTCTGCCATTTTTAGTCAAATAATTTCCTTTCAAATTGGTATTTTTTGTAAAGTGCTATAAAATTTATCAAATTTATTGTGGTTTCTTTTAAAATATTTTTACATATATAAAAGCTGAAATTATCTTCTTTTAGTTATTGTTTTAATTTTTCTTATATATCCCTTTTTCAACTATTTCTAACTTTTCTAAGTACCTTAATGCCCCATATTTATTTTTCCCGACAATTTACCATTCTCAATTTACGAAAAATTATAAGAATTATCTCTATAGAATATAATAATTAATGTAAAAGGTTAATTTTTACTAAACTATTTGAATCTCCAATCATATTCGTACCGGAAATCCGGCGACTCCGTACACGTTGTCTGTAGCTAAGGAATAGAGATCGTCGTACCGTTTCTTTCTATTCTGAACAGGCGCATTCCAAGAGAACTCGCAAAAGGAGTAAAAGGCTCCTACATAACCTGTCACTACGTAAGTATTCGTGCACACATAGATAGAAAGTAGTTTTGCGCAACGCGTTACGTGCGTACTTTATAGGATAAAACTGCAGTCCTTGCTGAGTCATAGAATATTGTGAACTTGTGATCGAGGTACGAGTTTTCCTCGAGCATCTCTCCATTGTCCACGAAACCGCCAATTTCGGAGTAAGTAGAGCGTCGAGACGACGCCATAAGTCTTTAGAGGGCGAAGTTCTGAGTTTTCATGGTGTTGCGTGGCGCAGCGGGGCGACGACCCCACAGCTAACGGGCACCACCTTTCATATTATTATTCTCATTCTCCTAATTGCCACGTGTTTTTGTTACAGCAATAAATTGTATGAGTCAGAAGGTAGAAAAACCAGTATTATCGGGTCAACGGATCAAGACCAGAAAAAGAGGTGAGTCTTATTCTCGAATTTTTTCCATGTTCTTTCAAGACATCTAGTTACGTCGATTGATACCACCTTGACCGTGATTTTCCTATAGTTGTGTAAGTGGGTCAGGCCTGTGTGTGATTAAACTTGGTTGTCAAACAAAGAAAATTGGCATCATAAATAAAGTTTAGAATTTTTTTTTTTTTCATTTAACAATATCTATTAGTTTTACATTTCACATTTGGTCAGTGAGTAGTGTTGGGATCCATCAATGTCATTACAATACACCTGTCCCACTTACATGAACATCAAAGCCCTTTTGTTTGCTAGTTACATGCCAAGAAAATGGAGGTAGGTAGGTACATATTAAATCTTGTTCATAAAAATTTCAAACATCTAATAAACATGAAATGTTTTTATGTATATGTCAGTGTATGAAGTGATGAAACTTAAAATAGGTTTGTAGGTTATATTTTTTTTTTTTTTTTAGTAAGTAGATTGATTTATATTGGCTTAATTTTGGTTTAAATTAAAATAATGTTCAATTAGTCATGTATCATTATTTACAATGAACAAGTAACAGGATACTGATATGACCTACAATTGACATAAAAATGAGACATTGATATCTTGTTATTATTTAATGTGTTACCTTGAATTGTGTCCAGATATTTATGGATGCATTAGATATTTTGTTCAACATTTTAATTATTAATTTATATTGTTTATTGCATATACTATAATATATACACATTAATAATACATACAAAACACATAATGGTGAAAACAAATGTCTAATAGAAACCTCTACTCACTAAGAGCTTCTGACAAAGCGAATATGGAAAGTATTCTGAATTTTTGATGAAACAAAATAAAAATAAATGTAGATTAACAAAAAATCTACACTAATTGAAAGCTTTTTATTCTTGCAGTCAAATATAAATAGAAAATTGATGTTTTTTTTTTTATGATTCGTGGGTACATCTTAAAAAAAACATATGGAACAAATTAGACTATAGAATAGCTTGTATTCTGTCTAATGTCAAATTTTTGTATTTCCAGTATGTCTTATCTTTCTTTTATCTTGATCTTTATTATCAAATGGAGGGGTCACTAAATAAATAAATAAAAATAACCATTCATTCAAGGTCTCCCTTGTATGAATTGAAGATTGTTTTTAGTTTAATATATTATATTACTGTTAGCAAATTTGTGAAATAGCATGAACCATGTATAGAATACTGTAAAATACTGCCAATAAGTTGTTATTATGATGACACATATGCATGTATGAATCATCATGGCCTATCATTTTCTTATTATTATATACAATTAAGCTTTACATAAATACCTACATATAATATTTATTTTTATATGTAATAATTAACTTGTGATGATTTGAATCTATCTACACTTGTACACAACAAAATTGTTTCACTTATTATCAATACACAGACAAAACCGCTAAGTTAGAAAGCTGAAATTTGGAATATAGATTTATTTCAAAATGCAGTCATCCATTAAGAAAGGAAGGATGAAACAACACTACGCTTGCTATGACTGGCAACAATTGGTTACTTTGTAAATTAATAAAATATATACCTACATACATACGTATCTGTCACGTCTATCTCCCATTAGGGTAGGCAGAAACAATGGAACGCCAAATGCTTCGATTCAAACAAACCTCTTTCGCTTCTTCCACATTAATCAATCTTTTCATACACGCTCGCCGGTCACGGGTACTTTTAATTTGTCCCTTCTTCAGCACGTCGCCTATTTGGTCAACATACGTCCGTCTAGGGCGGCCCCTACCGACATCTCCATTCATTCTTGCTCCATAAATCTCTTTCGTAACTCTTCTTTCATTCATCCTGTCCAAATGACCAAACCAACGCAACATTCCTTTTTCGATTTTTGTCACTACATCGTCTTTCAGTACACACTTCTCTCTAATCACACTGTTATTATTATATTACATACACCTACATTTAAATAATATTATTTAATCTTCAGTTTATGATTTGAATATGAATGTACAATATAATTTTGGCCATTAATAATAGGTTATCTTCCTGTACAAAGGTCCTATTTTTAATATCCATTTAAAATTACAGTCCAAGTCGAATGTTCACTTTTTTTTTTTTAATATGTAAAGAAATCTATTTTATCTTTGCGGTGCGATGATGAGGCAATTAATCCTCACACGCTTGAATCTAAATGGCCGCGTATTTTGCGATTTCAGTGGAATTTTTCCCGTGAACGCTTAGGCTATGGAATGAGTACCCTGCCGAGGTTTCCCTATAGACTATAGTTATTAAAAAAAAACTTATTAAAGTTTTTTCAAGGTCAGCAATGCGCATGTTCTTTTAGGTTTTTATGGATGAAAATAGAATGGCAACTCGGCCTAAACTATCAGTATACGTTGGCGGGACACCAGTGAAGTATGACAGGTGAGGATGAAGCAGGTCAGTTGGACCGTCGTGATTAATTCATTCGAATGAACCACGGTGGTTTCCGCGTGGAGATCGACCGGTATATTGCTAGTAATGGGCCTGTTAGATCTCATTACTCAAAAATCCTCTTCCCCCGATATCGTCTAGTTATATTTTTGTTCCAATTTTTATAAATTGGGTACATGAACAGTGACATACTGTATAGTTTATTTCAATGCAGCCATTAATGGCGACCACATGCAGTGTTATTGTGCAGAATATGCACATGGTTGAACCGCCTTGGCATAAGTGTCTGGCCATATGTCGTGTGCTATATGCAGAATTATACTAGTGTTTTGCCCGCTACTTTGTTCGCATGAATTTCAGTAATCGAAATATCAATGAAATAGATTACCTAGATGGCGTATCATAATAAAACATTCATTATCTTTTTATCAGAGGGAGACTTTGTACAACAGTCGTTTGCTTAGGCACCTCTGTCCCATTTGTGTTTCTACCGTGAAGCAGTTGTGTTTGCATGGCTATGTTTCGGTTTGAAGGGTGGGAATGGCGGTGAATTTACAGAGTACAGAGGCATAATACCTTAATTCTCAGGAATGACAACGCATGGAGGTTACATGAGAGAAACAGTATACTCTTTTATGTCCATGGTACTGCTCATGTTTATAGGCGACGGCTCCTACTTTCCATCAGGTGGGCCGTCAGCTAGTTTGCCATTTTAAGTTGCGTAAAAAAAATCACTAAGTTACTGGGACCACACGGCATAATTAATTACATAAAAGCAAGATGCAGCAAAGGGGTAACAACAGTAGCGATCTCTTCCAAACAATTGTTTCTTTTTTGTTTCCAAAAAAAAAAAATAGATTTTTTAATAACTAATATAAAACTAAAATAACAGAAATAATTACTAAAAAAAATTAGTCATAATATCATAACACTTGTGTACATAAAAAAAAATGTCAGATGAATTAAAAATTTTCTTTTTCTAGCCGTTTACAAAAAGTATGTACGCGTTTCAAATAGCGATACTAATAAATAAACCCAGTGATCTAAACTGGTCCAAGAACCCAACTGTATTGAAATGGCAACTTTCGTGTGGTCGAAAATCTGAATCGATAGATCAGCACTTTTGTCATAGTACTTCTAGCTAGTGTCTAATTTGTTCAGCATACTAATAAATAAACCCAGTTATCTGAACTTGTCCACGAACCCAACTGTATTGAAATGGCAACTTTCGTTGTGGTCGAAAATCTGAATCCATAGATCAGCACTTTTGTCATAGTACTTCTAACTAGTGTCTAATTTGTTCAGCATACTAATAAATAAACCCAGTGATCTGAACTGGTCCAAGAGCCCAACTGTATTGAAATGGCAACTTTCGTGTGGTCGAAAATCTGAATCGATAGATCAGCACTTTTGTCATAGTACTTCTAGTTAGTGTCTAATTTGTTCAGCATACTAATAAATAAACCCAGTGATCTAAACTGGTCCAAGAACCCAACTGTATTGAAATGACAACTTTCGTGTGGTCGAAAATCTGTATCGATAGATCAGGACTTTTGTTATAGTATTCTAGCTAGTGTTCAATTTGTTCAGCATACTAATAAATAAACCCAGTGATCTGAACTTGTCCAAGAGCCCAACTGTATTGAAATGACAACTTTCGTGTGGTCGAAAATCTGAATCGATAGATCAGCACTTTTGTCATAATACTTCTAGCTAGTGTCTAATTTGTTCAGCATTAGTTTATGGTCTTACAATACTAATGTAATAGTAGAAATGATCACTATGGTGTGGTCGAAAATCTATTTCGATAGTCTAGTTATTTTGTTATTACAACAATAGTATTGAGATTTATGTCACCAGACTCCTAACATGTCATGTCCACTCCTATAATATTTTTGTTTTTGATGGGTAATAATGGAATGGTAACCCCGCCTGAGCTAGCTGAACACGCTGGCGGGGCACCAGTGATCTCTCCAGTGACCAGGGTGATCGATGAGAATGAAAACAGGCCAGTTAGCCCATTATGATGAATCCATCAGGAATTACCCATGATAGTTTTCAGAGGGAACCGCGTGGAGGTCGACCTGGCCGGGTATATTGCTAGCAATGGGATTCTTAGTCTCTATTACTGACAATCCCTTTCTACACACACCTATAAGGTTGTGGTTGGTAACACTTCCTGACCGTTTTTGACTTGAGTGTAGTATGGACAATTTATGTAGGTTTAACTTTATTATTACGAGAATAGTTTTTTTTTTCTTCAATATGTTCTCCGCCTTATTTATGAGGGCTACGAGGGGGAAAGGAATTGTTAGTAATGGGGTTTAACAACCCCGATGCTAGCAATATACCCTAACAGATTGACCTACGCGTTTTCCCCTGGAAGCCATCGGTTAATTATTATTGATGAATTGATCCTTACCTATCATCTCTCACTGATACCCCGCCAGCGTATACCGATAGCGCAGACGGGGTTGACATTTAATCTTCACCCATTAAAAAAGACGAGAGCTACATGGAAAGGGGGGCGTGCCGGTCATGGTATATTTATGATTATAGAAAAATAAAATTTCATTCTCCTATTTCGTACATTATTATCATTTTGCGAACGCTTGTCATTAAGTCTAGTCCTTGATCACAACTTCAGCCAACCGACCTAACCTCCACGTGGTCCCGCCTGGAAACCATTGTGCTGAATTCCATGTATATTCATTACAATCCGCTAACTGACCTGCCGTTTCATTCTCACCTATCATCCCCTCACTGGTGCCCCGCCAGCGTATACCGATAGCGCAGGCGGGGTTACCACTCCATTATCACCCATTAAAAAAACCAACCGATATAGGCCGTCGATGATTTCATCAGCTTCGACCATGTTTGCAATTTGATATTCTATTAACACCATTGACATTGAATCGAAACATTCGTGAAATGGAATCGAGGCTCCAGTTTGCGCCTTAATTAATTTCATTCGAACAATCGTCGTGATTGTCACATATTGCGTAAAAAATCATCGTCGTTACATAAATAGGGAAACGGCGGCAATAAAACAGCGTCTCACGGTGTGCCGGTTATCTTATCAGACGTACGAGGAAGTGTTAATAATGTAGCCACTGTCAGGTGACAAACTCATGCAGTTTTTATATAGCTTCACTATTGGCGTATTTAACGCTTGACCGAGCGTGACGGTGCATCTTACTTGCATATGCCTAACCTAGCCTTTACCTGTGTTGTTTTGTACGCCTAATCTGTCTACATTAGGCGTATAAATTAAAGATTGTTCTACAAAAAAAATTGGCTTCAATTGTGTCAAAACGCCTTATATTGATCTAAAAACTGTTTTCTCACTCTGATTATTTCTTGTAATTTTTTATATTTATAATAAGTTTACTATTGTAATCTTTTGGAGGAAACAATAAAGAGTATCTGTCTGTCTAAAAACTAAACTACTGTACCGATTTTAACAAAATGTTTCTAATTTGTAAGTAATATCCTTTCAGATAGAAAAATAGATTATTCCAAATCGGTTTACAACTAACGGAGTTATGAGGTAACGAACGTAAAAATTAATACACTGAATTGAGAATTTTAGAGAATAAAGGAAATTAAGATAGAAACGGTGGGGCGACACATTATCCCAGCATTTGCAGTGCTAAATTGGTAATTATGAAACCTCTTAATAAACAATTTTCTTACTGCACTGCACGAACTAACATACACATGACTGCATAGTAAGTAGACAAGAAATTTAACGACATTCCATTCATCTAAAATGATCTTTAGGATTTAATTAAAATACTCCCATGCAATTTATTGTTGGATGCGACAAAATACGAGTCAATTCCAGCCGTTCTTATATCGGTCTATAATATTATATATGTGGGCACTTGCAGTGTGTACCGTTATGGGGGCAATGACACCATCAGTGCTGGACGACTCCAATGATTTCACGTAATTTCCAAAACAGATTAGACAGTGAAAATCGTTTGAAACACATTCTGTCTTTCGGCTGGGGTAATCATAGTTAAATTCTTACTCATGTAAATGTAAAAGTGAGTTTGTTTGTTACTTGTAATGGCTAAACAATCACTATGAAATTTAGTATACACGTTCTATATGAGATAAAGAAGGATATAGGCTACTTTATGGGATATAAACGTGAGGTCACGCGAGCGAAGTCGCGGGTAAATCCTAGTTATATAATAAACTTGTAACTATGTCTGTACATAGGAAATATTTAAGATAAACTAACATGAGGGGTCTTAAATGCAAAACAATGATTTTTAGATTTAGAAAAATAGTTAAAAAATAAGTTCCACTGACTTGAAAAATGAATAAGTCTTCAATTCGACGGTTTATTTATATATTTTTTATTTTGTGCAATGACTATATAATTGCAAGGGCTCATGCTTGTTGCAATTTTTGGCAATACTAAAGTTAAGTAACTTATTTGATAGTTATAACTTAATAGACGGCTTGGATACCTCTGTCCCATTCGTGTTTCTACCGTGAAGCGGTTGTGTGTGCATGGCTGTGTTTCGGTTTGAAGGGTGGGATATGGCGTGAATTTACTGGGTACAGAGGAATAACACCTGAGTCCAAACAAGCTGACGGCCTACCTGATGGAAAGTGGTAACCGTCGCCTATAGACATGAGCAGTACCATGGACATAACAGATTATACTGTTTCCTGTAAATAAAACGAATGGAACAGAGGTACCCAAGCAAACGACTTTTGTAGTCTCCCTCTGGTAAGTCTACATATACAAAAAAAAATACATAAGAGAGTAATATTTTATATATATTAAGGATTGATCCTAAGGATAATAGAGACCATTGGAGGCATTTGAAGGCCTTTGCTAATAAGCAAACAGACAACAGCACTTAAATAAATAATAGCTTGTTAAAAAAAATTTTGTCTGAATAAAGGCTTATATTATTATTATTATTATAAGGAATAATCCTTATAATAATTCAGGAGTGTTTTCAAATTCGCTATTCCAAAAGGAGTCTTATTTTTGTTGTAAATAGCAGGATGCAATAATAAAACATATAATGTATTTGTGATATAAAATAGTAAGTTTAATCAAAACATACAAGACACGTTTTATATAAAATCTGACATAGAACAAACATAAAAATAATATATTGTTCTAAAAAAAAAACCTCAGTGTCAACAGCCAGAAATTTTTACAATTTTGACCTGAAGGTTTCTTGCGTTGTGTAAATAAGTTTATTGGGAATTGTGTTGCCCATGTTTCTAAACTAAGCATCATGATTTACTTATTCTGTACACGAAACAAGTTGTTAACTAAGCAGTGCGATATCTAGTTATAAATATTAATTTGCAGTAAATGATCGTTTACTTGTAATATTGGTTTTACTGCCGAATAGGCCTTCGGCTTGCGGGCAATACGCCTACATTTAAAATCTTAAGTAGGTATTGACAAGGTATAGCAACGTTGTATCTCGATTAATGCAACGTAATATGGGCATTATATGTTATAATAAAATACCGAAGGATATTTGGAATGTTATAATAAAATACACGAAGGATATTTGCAGAATATACGTTTGGAACGTGATTTAATATTGAACGTTCAAAACTGTTAAAATTAAAACACGCTGTCAGACACCGATGGCTGACGCGGCCTAAACGGAAAGTCTAGTGTCAGCCACCGATGGCTGACATGGCGCTCAACGTGTTAAATAACACTTCTTGAATAAAGCCACTCACACTAAACGAATACTTGAATGACAAATGTACATGGTTTTAGTCGATCATGCATGGGCTTTTATATATTTAAATAAATACATATTATGTTAACAGAGATTTAAAACTGCTTGTAAATAAGTATATGTATTTGATTAAGGATGATTCGAATTTAAAAACTTACATCAAAATTGTATTTTTTTTATATAGTATGTTTGTAAAATGTCAATATCTCAAAGCACGATCGGTCTTAGCTTATCTATGTAGCCTCAAAGGGGGGAGGGAGATAGGTCGTGTCACAGTCAATACTTTTTTAATAGATAAAGATGAAATAGTAACTCGATCTGCGCTATTGCTATAGCAGCTGGTGCCCAGTGAGAATAAAAGCAGGTTAGTTGGGCCATCGTGTCAAATTCGACAAGAATTAACCACATGATTTCCAAGATTCATGATAATATAATTCAAAACGACGGATCAATATGAAAATGGTGGAAGCAAGAGATGTATGGGACATTAAATTTCAAAATAGGATATCGAATGATGTTTAAAAGTTATATCCACAAATGATTCACGTGTTAAACTTATTTATAGTCAAAATATCACTTGGAATACACGTGCTTGGTGTTAGTTGATCATGCATGTGATTTACAATGAATTCAGTCTGTTATACTCGTGTGCCCAAATGAATATTAAGTAAAACCCATTTAAAAAGATCAACAACGGAATTTCTTTGGTTTTATATGTATTGTAATTGTACCAGCCGTTAACTGTGCACTGCTGAACATAGCCTCCCCCATGAGGGGGGTTTGACAGTAGTTGTCACGCCTGGCAGGTAGGTTGACAACCGCAGTTTGGCTTTCGCTGATGTTTTACCCTCGTAAAAGATAATCGAAAGTCAAACCCTGCTGCCTTTCCCTATATAATTAAGTTCTCTTAGTCGACTCTTACAACACCCACGGGAAAGGAAGGGTTGGCCTATTCTATGCCGAGACCACACTAATTGTAATTTTAGTATCTGCATGAAATTATCATGCTTTATTTATTTATGTATCACATTAATCGTCCTTAATGTTACTTTTATTGCGTCTCATGTGTGACATTGTGTTATCAAGTATAAAATTACATCTCCAAATAAGATGGACAGTGTATTGTTGTCGTTTCCAAGACCCTCTTGTCACTTTTATCAGAGGGAGACTTTGTACAAAAGTCGATTGCTTGGGTACCTCTGTCCCATTCGTGTTTTAACCGTGAAGCAGTTGTGTTTGCATGGCTGTGTTTCACAGTAAAATTAATTATTTTAATTTAAAACTACTAAACTATGATAAAATTTCGTTCATAATATGTCTTTTAGATGTAAACAGATTTGGTAAATTCTTAACTGACAGAATTATGAGGTAGTAAATATAAAAAAATATATCCTTCCTTGTTCCTCAGATGAGAAAGAGAAGTATGACCCTAACGGGTTCCGCGACGCGCTGGTGCAGGGGCTGGAGCGCGCCGGCGGGGACCTGGACACCGCGTACAAATTCCTAGACGGGGCTGGCTCCAAGCTCGACTACCGCCGCTATGGGGAGGTCATATTCGACGTACTCATTGCGGGCGGCTTGCTACGTAAGTATATGGCACTATCTCATCTTCTTGCGGATTTTTTTTAGTAAACTAATATCCCTAATAATATAGCTTCCTGTACATGAAAGATTTTTTAAAATTGTTTACCTTTTTTTTTTTAGTTACTCTATTCTTCTAAAAATTCAATTGAATGAATGAATAAATAGTTTATGTTCTCTTCACAAAAGGTAGTTAAAAGTAATAACTTGAGGTATAATTAAATATGTGAGACTTATTTTGTGAGAGACTGGTGATTTTTTTTATACGACTTAAAATGCTGACGGAAAGAACCTGATGGAAAGTGGTAACCGTCGCCTATAGACATTTTTTTTATACAATTTAGAATATCAAACAAGCTGACGGCCTACCTGATGGAAAGTGGTAACCGTCGCCTATAGATATGAGCAGTACCATGGACATAACAGTATACACATACTGTTTCGCCCATGACACCCCCCATGCGTTGCCATTCCCGAGGACTCAGATGTTATTCCTCTGAACCCGATAAATTCACACCATATCCCACCTTTCAAACCGAAACACAGCCATGCAAACACAACTGCTTCACGGTAGAATTCTGCTTCACGAATGGGAATTCGTGTTTCTACCGTCGATCATACCAGAGGTACCCAAGCAATCGACTTTTGTACAATGTCTCCCTCTGGTTTTCTGCAGTAGGTTTTGAAAAGACCTGTGTTACAAGTCACCAGTGCTCCATCTCCATGGACTACACAAATATATGGCAACCATAAATAATTAGTCAATTAATAAAACTGGAAACTAGCAAGATTAGGATGTAATGGTCTCCATTCAAAAATTACAAGCGTAGAAACAAAGAGAGATTATATTTAATATAAAACACACTTCATATTATGAATTCCCACGAATACAAGAGAAAACAAGTATGGCGCACGCGAGTCCGATGTTTTCCTTCTAGTAAAGTATTGCAAATAGAAATAATCTTTAATTCAATATAACAAGTTTTATTTATCACAAGGTAATTGTATTTTTTTTTACGATTACTGCTAGGTTCGGCCTATCGTTATCTGTCCAGAAGAATCCACGAGAGAGTCAACATACTGTTTATTACGTAATTTATACAAATTTCGTCATTAACTGGTTACAAGTATCACAAATAACTATTGACAGACTTTACCAAGTCATTATCTTACTACCCTTACGTTTTCCTCTTCCATTCATCTCTATTTACGGTCTTTCTTTCTCATTTTGGTCCTATTATCTTCTCACATAGTTCAGCCATGTCTTTATAAGTCTCTCTCCACCGTTATGGCCACCCACCTTTATACTTAAATAAGCCTTAGTTTACCAAAGTGTGGCAATGTCGCACTTCTATAAGTTAAAGTAGGAAGTGTCAATACTTTTTTTAAAATATAACATGACTAAATACAGTTTCAAATTTCAATGTTATCAATTAAATATATTAAAGGATAAAATATTTAGTTTTTTTTTTTTGCTACCACTTTCCATAAGGTGGGCCGTCAGCTTGTTTGCCATACTAAGTTGTATAAAAAAAAGCTTATAAATTCCTTGATTTATGTAAATATGTCTAGGTATACCGTTAATTTTATTGTAAAGACTCATTGTCGTGACCTTGTAATGATAGTAGCATGTTAGTAATGACAAAATGTTTGAAACTAACTTTTGTAATATTACCATTTCACCTTATGGTACCAAATTTCATTTTTTTAATTTGACACCAACCTGAAAGGAGATTGCCTACATGATTGTCTGTTTATTCTAATTGCCGAGTGTACGGCTTCACTCATTACAAGGGATGAGGGCTTCGTATTATTTGCGCAGTAAACAAGGGGGCGATTGATCTAATGTTGGCATTTAATTTAATGATCCCATCGGGTCGAGGTCGTGGGGTTGTCTCGTGTGCTTATATGCCGAGGTGAGGTGTTTGACCCCATATTGCGTCCTATTGATGAAATGAATGGCAAGTAATGTTTACCATAGAGGTAGGATATGTATTTGAATATATTTTAAAGTTAAAAAACTTTGAGTCTGTTAGGTGTAATTTTTTGTAGCATAGACTAGCAAATGGAATGTTTCATCCGATTTAAAATCGTATATTACAAATTATTAAGATTTTGTTTATAAAAAAAAATGTGAACAACTTTAGTTGTGGCAAAATATTATATATACCAACACGGGAATAAATTCTCTAGAAGGCAAAAAGAATTTATCAAATTTTGGTAAGAATTAGTGACGTACCTATTTAAAAAAAAAATTAGATAATGAGAACCAATTGAGGAAACGGTATTTTTTTTTTATCTATTCGTATGTTGATTTTCGAGTTGTACCTTTATTTATTTATTGCCCAATTTTTTAGTTTGATTACGCAGTTGATCGAAAAATTTGAACTCTGTAATTAAATTTTTTAATAACTCAGGGCCACCTCCCTCAGTTAAGGTCTACAGTTGGCAGTATTGATAGCTGTAGATTTTGGGTGACTTCCTCCCTAACTTACTGAGTTATCGCAATAATTAACATGATGAGACACATGGCTAGAGTCCTGAACATGCATGTTGACAAACTCTTTGTTCGTTCGTAATATATCTGATTGATTTAATATTTAACAATACTTGGTTTGTTTGGTGTGAGCATCATGACATAATGTGCCCGTTTGTTTGCACGCCAGTACCCGGCGGCTCGGTGTCCATGGACGGCGAGTCGCCTAAGACCAACACGTGCATCTTCGCCGCCAACGATGATATGGACACGATGCGAAACTTCGAACAGGTAACTGTATATTTTATAATAGTTAACAAGTCAGGTTACATGCATATTTCTATAACTAATAACGCAACTTTTAAAATATATGTAGTCTAGTGTTATTTAATTCATTATAATTGTTACTTCATTTTCTCGCATTGTATAATTATGTTAAAGTGAATGCTGTGAATACCTTTAATAGGCGTGTGCATTAATATTGTATTGTATTTAATGTTTGTTATATATGTTATAATGCAATATGCTGTTGGTGTTCCTTTAACCCTTTGCATGATTTTTTTATTGGTGAAATCAAAGTGATATAATTCATGTTTAAAATTAAAGGAAAAATGGTTAAAACAATAAATTTGACAGCTATGTTTTTTTTCTGCAATGGGCATTAAAAAATTAACCAGACACAATCAACTTAAAGTGAACTCGGTCTTTTATATAAGTTTTAGGCATTCAATGTTATGATGGAAATTTCCACCAGTATGCAAAGAAGAGTTAAATAAGTAAATAAATAGTAATACAATTGTTAATGATTACCAAATCTCTATAACGGAAGCAATCAGATGATATATTTTTATACCACAAAGTTGGCAGTAAGCATAAAATCTATCTATCTAAAACACGCGTGCATACGTGCTTGTTTTATATGTATGTATGTATGGTGTTCTCTGACGTTTCTGACCCGCTTTCGTTATACACAAAGATTTTTAACATGGATTATTTAATTACTTGCCATCACAAGTACGAAAAGAAAAGAAAGCATGTTATGTGTTGCCATATCTAAGGACTGTATTATTATGGCGCCATACTCGATAATTTCACTTCCATATTCTACCTTTCAAACCTAACACAGTTGCTTACTGGCAGAAATACGAGAATCGTCACTTATACTGAAATGGCAATGAGAAAGAGAATTATTAATATCAGTTTGAGTAGTTTTTTAGTTTAGCCATTACAAATGGACAAATCAAATCTTTCTTCTTTATATATAGATAGACAGATAGATACTCTTTATTGTTTCCTCCAAAAGATTACAATACTTCTTTATAATATTAATATTGGTAAAGCTGGAGTAAATGTATATATACAGGGGAGCAGTATATTCATTATATTTTCTAATTTTATCTCTTAAATGATGAAAAACATGGCTAGAGTCCTGAACTATTGTGTTGAGAAACCCTTTCTCGTTCGATCATCTCTGAATAACCCAATATATTTATATATTATTGTTCTTTATATACATTTTGTTATATAAATTGTAAATTTGCAGGTGTTTGTTAAACTGATGCGCCGGTACAAATACTTGGAGAAGATGTTCGAGGAAGAGATGAAAAAGGTAAGAGAAGTTAATGTTTGAATATGCATTGCATAGGACTATATTTGTATATCTAAGAAACAAGTGTCGTGTCCATTCTTTTGAGTCATAGACGAGTCTTAAAACTAATGATGTAATGTCAACTTAGGAAGCAAAAGGAACATTGTCATCATAGACACTTGTCGCTGGAAATTGTGTTGCAGTATTACCAGTATTGCAGTTCATCAGAGGGAGACTTTGTACAAAAGTCGTTTGCTTGGATACCTCTGTCCCATTCGTGTTTCCATCGTGAAGCGGTTGTGTTTGCATGGCTGTGTTTCGGTTTGAAGGGTGGGATATGGCAGTGAATTTACAGGGTACAGAGGAATAACACTTGAATCCTCAGGAATGGCAACGAATGGGGAGTATCATGGGCGAAACAGTATACTCTGTTACGTCCACGGTACTGCTCGTGTCTATAGGCGACGGTTATCACTTTCCATCAAGGTGGCTCGTAAGCTTATTTGCCAGTCTAAGTTGTATAAAAAAAATATTTGTTTAATATTTGTTTTGCCAATTATTATGCAAATTAATATATAATTTATTACTACAGGTGCTTGTATACCTGAAGGGATTCGAGCCCCCTCAACGTATCAAGTTGGCGCGCATGACGGCGCTTTGGATTGGTAAGTCACTAATATATACTGAAGGTAGAACTTAAAATCTGGTATATGATTTATCTTGATATGCCGTCTAAAAGTGGTTTTATCCATTTAATTAGATTTGCTACTTTTGAAATATACTCGTATGGAATTAGCGGGCATTACGCCATATACTTTGTGATTCCTGAGAACTATGGTATTATATCTCATTATCCTGTAATTATTCAACCTTTAGCAGTCAGATATAAACTGCGTAGGGTAGGATACATCTCAGGATTACAGTAGATTCCGAAGAAAAAACTGTGTACGAGGAAAGGTAAAACTGTAGAAAATTGCTAGCTATATACTTTATTAGGTAGACTTCTTTAATTCGGCCTGAAAATCATCATGGTTAATTTCTATCGAATTCGTCATGATGGACCAACTGATCTGGCCCTCTAGACAAGTGGCAAGCGAATTCGTCGATGGAATCAACATCACTAGTGAGTCTGTGAGTTGGAATGAGTCATCCGGTGTTGCTATCTCATTCTGTCATGTCAACGACGAATTCGCTTGTCACTTATCTCGAGGCTTTGATTTTTCATTTTCGCCTTTCATCCCTCGCTGGTGTCCTGCCAACATAAACTTATAGCATAGGTGGGGTCAACATTCATCCATTAAGAAAAGTATGTGTTGCATACAGGCAACGGATGCGTGCCGCCATCAGTACTCCTGGTGCTGGTGAACGAGCACCTGCTAAAGGATAACCTAGCCCTGGACTTCGTGCTGGAGGTGTTCGCCACCGTGAAGCAGGAGCGCGGCGTCGCCTCCCTCGTCACTGCTCTCAAGAAGGGACAGCTCGAGGGCAGGTAGGCACGATGGTGTCAGCGCCTAGGTATTAGCTGATTGTAGACCTATTATTACCCATTTTTTTAATAAACTGGATACCAAAATAATTCTACTCTTAATAAAAAAATTGTGTTTTTAAAACACTCAATTCCATTGTTTTATGTGGGTATGAGTACTTGTATAATCCGAGGTTGATATAAATTTAAAAATGCCGACTTTCCGATATAATTTTCCGTGTATTTTTTACGCCATATTTTACAAGACAATATTTTTTACTTTTGCCTTACAGCAAAGACACAGACATAGATACTGCCTTAACAGTACTCATATTTAGTAACCAATTTTATTATAGAAAATGGTAATATTTTTGATATAAGTAGAGGGACAGCAAATTGTCATTTAACATAGTATACATTCATCATCATCATTTCAGCCGTTAACTGTCCACTGCTGGACATAGGCCTTCCCCATAAGAGGAGTTTTACCAATAGTTGCCACGTTTTGCAGGCGGTTGGGCAACTGCAGTTAGGCTTTTAAAGATGTTTTAAGAGAAATGATGCTGTCCATCCCTTGACCATTAAGTACCCTTAGTCGTCTTATACGACACTCACAGGAAAGGAAGGGATGGGTTATTCTATGCCGGGACGATATGGCCAAATATACATTAATTACCAATTAATAAACTAATAGAGTAAAATGTCTTGTACCTTATTACCTACCCCCATATTGTTACAGTAGTGATTTTTTCAATAGAATCACAATGTTTGTGTGGGGATAAAACAAAGCTCCATGTACTGGCTCTTCGCATGATTGTGACAGAGTCATTAGTGGTGCTACATTGAAATATTATTTTGTATATAAATAATTAGTCTTTCTTAAGGATAACTTTATATTTTCCAGTTATATTTCCAGCCAGAAACATGGCTAAAAGATTCCATCAAGTTTAATGAGGCATGGTGTATATTAGTACAACATACCTTTAATTTCGTGTGGTCCGAATGTTCGAGCAATAGAATTGACCACACCTTCCTTTCTCATGGGTAAGAGGCGACTAAGGAGGTCGAGGGATGGGCAGTAGTGTCTCTCTTAAAGTATCTGCAAAAGCTACTAATAACAAAACTCCTCTAGAGGCAGGCTTACGTTCAGCAGATACTGGTATACAGATAGATAGTGATAGCTATTATATGACTTTGACACTAAATGTGGCGACACGTAGACACTTCCATACATCTACATACATTTGTTTTTATACACTTACATGCTAAATTAAAAGTAATTTGAGGTTTTAATATAAGTAGAGGTCTTATTTTAAAATATTACTGCTTCATGTATGTGTACTATTAAATCACAGTGTTGTTAATACTGTGTATGTATTTATGTAGGCTGCTCGAGTTCCTGCCGCTGAACCGTCGCAGCGAGGACGTGCTGGCGGCTTCGTTCGCGTCGCGCGGCCTCGCCGAGCTGCTCAAGTTGCATCGCGCGCAGGCCTTCCAGGTACGCACTCATTCCACTATACTGTAAACCAACTTAATATACACAAATTCAAATCCTTTATTTGCAAGAAATGCAATTCACAACTGCAATTACACAGTACAGAAACAGAAAGTACATGCCACATTCTACCTGTAGGGTGTGTAAAATAAAAAGGGAAAATACATTCGGGTTATAATTAATAATAATAAATTTATTTGCAATGATTTTGGGTATAAAACATTTGATCTTACAAATTAAAAGTACCTTACAAAATCTACTTAGGTCAAGCGTGCAAATATTGAGAACAAAAAAACTAGATATTTGAAATTCACACTGTTACAAATCTATCACTATTATATTAAACATTTTGTCATACATTATTGCAACTGAAATTTAAAATTAAATAAAATTAACAAAATACTTCAAAGTACTTCAGTACACTGCAACTCACTCACAATGATTTTTTTTTTAATTAAATAAATTATTACTAAAAAAAAAAGATATTTAAAATCCTCAAAAATAATAACGCATGTGTGTCATAGAGTAGTTACTTAAAAAAATATATGATCCAAAACATAACATATTTCATAATTTCAGCCATTATTCGTCCACTGCGGGACATTTAATCATTTCAGCCATTATTCGACCCCTGCTGGACATTTCATCATTTCAGCCATTGTGTCCATCAGCAGCAGCAGATATAAAATGTCCAGCAGTGGACGGATAATGCCTGAACAAACTTATTTGCTTAATGTTAACTGTGTTTACAGGAGGCGCGTCGCGAGCTGACGCAGGCGCTACTGGACGAGCTGGCCGACGAGAAACCGGTGCGCGACCTCATCCAGGAGCTACGCGACATGGCCGCCAAGCACGCCATACCCGACCACGAGGTCGTCGCCATCGTGAGTACATAAACACCAAAATTCTCTTTATTGAACTACATCCAGTGAAAAAATGGCCATGCGCTCCCAGCATAGAATAGGCCACCCCTTCCTATCTCGTGAGTGTCATAAAAGGCGACTAAGAGAGAGCAAAGGATGGGTAGCAGCGTCCCTCTTAAAACATCTTTAAAGCCTAACTGCGATTTCTAATCCACCTGCTAACTGTGGCAACTACTGGCAAAACCTCCCAAGGGGGAAGCTTATGTTCAGCAGTGGACAGTTAAATGCTGATATATATAATGATAGTGAACAGAATCTTACAATTGGTTCGATTCTGATGCATTATGTTTTAGGGATATACAGAGGTAGAGAAAATCGTTATTACGATCATTTCCAGTGAGTCTGACAACTTGACAAATGTTTAAACATTTTTATTGCACTGCGCTGCTTTGTTGTGGTAAATGGAACCAAAAATTTTTTGTATCTATAAAATATTTAATCAATTAAAATTAAAATTAAAAGTAGAATACTACTCTTTCAATATTTTTTATTCCAACCAGTGATTATATCTCGGTCACAACAATGAAGCTGTGACTACACTAGTTTGTACAAAATATATTATTTTTATATTCTTTAAATTTGATTCACAATACAAGAGAAAAAAAAAAATTGAAAACTGCTTTTTTTTTATTATAAAAATGCCCCGTTTCGTATGATGATACCCGATGACGAGTCAGAGCGTCGCGACACGTGATGTCGGCGCGGGGTGAACGAGTATTTCGCTCTAACCGTTTGCTGACGTCATAAGTCACTACGCCGTGTCGATATGGCAAGCTGATCACGCAACACGCACCCCAATGTTGACGCAATAGAGTGCATTGTCTAATGTATGCTGTATTACAGATCTGGCAGTGCGTGATGTCGCGCGGCGAATGGAACAAGAAGGAAGAGTTGTTGGCCGAACAGGCCGCCAAACATCTGAGGCACTACACGCCGTTGTTGGCTGCGTTCGCGCAGTCAGCTAAGGCGGAAATAGCTTTGCTCACCAAGGTAAATACTTGGTGTCAAGTTTAGCATTTTTTTTTTTTGTTATAGAGCCAAGACTTCTCAATTGTTAAACTATTTATAATATTTTTATTAAATAGGGGAAATTTATATTTATTAAATGGAATGGAAAACGGGTATTTTCTCATATCGATTACATTCTTAGTAAAGTATCAATAATATTAAAAAATCTTTTTTTTTTTTTCTTGCTAACTACTACTTTATAACAACTTTATAGTTCTATCAAAAGGTTTTCCTTTTTAAGGTTATACAAGCTAATAGCCCACTTGATAGAAATTGGTGTACATCGCCTATACTCATGAACAGTACATTGGACATAACAGAGTGTTCTATGTCGCCCATGACACCCTTGACTTGGTCGAGACTCTGTCCTAGTTTCTCGGGACTTTACAATCATACTCGACTAATATTGCTTCAATGAAGTTGTGAAACTATCACTTTTTACAGCAACACGTTACTGAATTTTTTTGCTAATTTTGAATTATCTGGTTTGTATATGCGCACGATTAGAGCCGGCCCGACGTATGTTGCGCGGGCCGGTGTCGAAGTGCGCTACAGTGACGCGCGGATCATCCTCGGACCGCGACCGTTCGTGGGCCGATCACACTGGCCGCACTACATGATTCTCATGATTATGATAAATGTAATTGTAACTTTTAACCCTTGGAGCGATCGGCTCTAGGCTACTTCGCTACACACACTGCGTCACCGATTTTTTAAATTACCAAATTTCGATTAGAGATTTTGGATAAATGGGGTACCAAAGTCGATTAGAGGTTATGGATAAATTGGTTTTTTGATGGGTGAAAATGGTATGGTAACCCCGCCTGCGCTATCGGTATACGCTGGCGGAGCACCAGTGAAGGGTGATAGATGAGAATGAAAACAGGCCAGTTAGCCCATCATGATGAATTCATCAGGAATTAACCATGATAGTTTACAGGGAGAACCGCGAGGAGGTCGATCTGGTTGGGTATATTGCTAGCAATGGGATTCTCAGTCTCCAATACTAACAGTCCCTTTGCCCCCAAGGATAAATGGGTTTATTACCTACATAAATTTAATGAAAATGACGCTGCAAATTCAAGTTATGCAACAGACGCTGTTTGCATTAGCGTGCGGTACCACATTTTTGTTCGGTACAGCGTACGATGCATAAACACTCGAGAGGTTAACCACCTACCAATTACATTAAACTGGCCGTCAGTCTGTGTGCTGTTCTAAGTATCACGAAATAATATATATATATATATATGTTTATGATGAATACCAGGTGCAGGAGTACTGCTACGAGAACATGAGCTTCATGCGAGCGTTCAGCAAGCTGGTACTGATGTTGTACAAGACGAACGTCCTCTCGGAGGAGGTGATACTCAAGTGGTACCGCGAGCCCAACTCGAGCAAGGGCAAGATGATGTTCCTCGACCAGATGAAGAAGTTTGTCGAGTGGCTTCAGAGCGCCGAGGAGGGTGAGTACGAACACCTGGCCAGCACCGGCTCTCTTTATTTAACGTAAGATTTGACCTAAACAAATATTAATGTTAGTTTGTTTAGATCAAATTTTGCAAGCTATTAATCCAGCTTGCATAAATTAACTTGTTTTAAGACAAATGCCTTACCTTGTTCATGTCTTATAGGCAAGCTCTCCTAAACGATTAGTATCTGCTGACAAGAAATCACATAAACTAAAATTTTAGATTATAATAATTCTTTCCCTACTTGTCTCAGCTTTATCATCAGAAACTATATTTTGGTGGCGAATCAATAACGATTTCAATATTTTTTTATATCAGTAAATATTTCCTTCCTCGATTTGAGAAACTGCATTTTCTGACAGATAATTGTATAACCATAAGAATAAGTAACTCACGTGCCAATGCTACTGAAATATACTAATTAATAATAATACCCTTCTTGTCCTTAGACCCTACATAAGTTATCAGGGTTGTCACAAATTTATTCGCATTCTATATAACGTGATTTACGCGTGTCGCGCATAAGAGTACATTTGCGAGAGGAACGCACGCTCTCATTGCGAAGTTTATTGCATGCTAGCCCTAACTTATGGGACGCAAGTTGGACCCGATCTGTTAGTGCGCCAATTTTTTTTTTTTTAGTAATTGAATTCGTGGGAGTGTCGGTTGTATTTAGATATTTTATTGTTATGATAAAATACAGCAGTCTATTGTGGAGTGCTTTCGCTCGGCTGTGAGGAGAAGTAGATGGAAACACATTGCGAGGACCTCAATCGCGAAGGAGGGCCTCATCGACGATCCACTATATAAAAAGCACGACCACTTTGTCTAGAATGTACAACTGAAGAGAGAGATAACAATGCGCACGATTAGAGCCGGCCCGACGTATATTGCGCGGCTCGGTGTCGAAGTGCGCTACAGTGACGCGCGGATCATCCTCGGACCGCGAACGTTCGTGGGCCGATCACACTGGCCGCACTACATTTTCTCTGATAATCGCTATTGATACTATTTGAGCATAAATGGTATCAACCATGGTGTCATGTGACTATAATAACTGTAATTGTAACATTTAACGGCTAAACTATTAGTGAAATATTTAGATAGATAAGATAGATAAATAATTTATTTGCATCACTTACAGCACACAAACAGCAAAAGACACAAATGCAAAGTGAAAAAAGATAAAAAAAGATACATGTACAAAAAGTTTAAAAAAAAAAAACAAAATTAGAATGCATAAAATTAGTAACAATTTTTTTTTTCATGCGTGTGCCACAGTAATACAAAATGGCCACAACTCAGCTTTTTGCTTTGCCCTAAAAAGAGCAAAACACTGATATTCTGTTGTGGCCATTTCATGGTAGGCCCTCTGATCTTATAGCAACTGCTAGGTAGCTACTGAGTCTGTGGTAACCAACACAGATATTGGGTGATTAGTTTCATTATTTAATCATCGTCATCATATCAGCCTTTAACTCTCCACTGTTGAACATAAGACTCCCCCTTGGGTTTGCCAGTAGTTAAGCTTGGCAGTCAGATTGGCAACTGCAGTTAGCGTTTAGAGATGTTTTAACAGGGACGCTGCTGCCCATCCTTCACCCTCCCTTAGTCGGCTCTTACGACACCCATGGTAAAGGTAGGGGTGATCTATTCTACGCTGGCACGACCTATTTTAAACGTTTGCTGTTTATTTACAGAGTCCGAGAGCGGCGAGGAGGAGGATTAGTTTAAGAGCAGCGAGTGAGACTGACACGACACGCGCCGCCCCACCACACAGACGGACGGACACCGGGGCGGTGCCGCCGACACCCGCGCCCTCGCGCACACATAACTAAATAATAATAATAATATAATATAAATAATAAACTATAATTGTTAAACTGCAGGCGCGAGGCGGCGCGGGCGTTACCCACAACTGTATATTGTTCATTTCTAAAGTAACATGTTGATGAAATACAATATTTTTTATTCAATTTTTTTAGGAAAATTCCAATAAATTGTGGTAACACACACACATTGCTGCTGTTTTATTTATTTAGTACAGGATCTGGTTTGTTTTTTTTTAATGGATAATAAAGGAATGGTAACCCCGCTTACGTTATCGGTATACACTGGCGGGGCACCAGTGAGAGATGAATGCGACAAGTATAATCACAATGGTTTCCAGGTGAACCACGTGGAGGTAGACCTGACAGGGATGCCAGCAATGGGGCCATTACCTCCCATTACTAACAATAATATTTCCAGGCATTTAGAATTAATAGTGATATAAATTACTTGCAAATAAATATATGAAAATTGAAAATTTTCCACTTTATTTTGAGCAGTCGTGTAAAAAGCAATCTTACATTTGGCAGTGCCCTGTTTCACAAAGCTTAGTTTACAAGCGTATTAATTACAAGTTAAAATTTTTTTTTATTACTATTATATATTTTTTGTGTACTCTTATAAGTCGTAATGGTACAGCAAAAATATTGGTTATATCGTCTTATTCATTGTTACTAGTGTAATATTATCTGTGGTATTATGTATCAGTAACAAAATGGCGCATTGTTTTCATTCTAAGAACAAGGAATTATACATAGAAGGAATGATAAAAACTTAATTATATGGTTGCCTCCTTTTTTCTTATGCAAATATAATTATTAAAAAAAAAAGACGAAAGATATATCATTAGTTACTATTTTTTCAATTGATAGCAGGCTAGTGTATAGATTTACTTTTATTTATTCATATTTCAAATTTCAAAGACATACATCATATAAGACAGATTTAATTTTAAAGTGCGTAAACAGATGGCGCTTTTTAAATATTTGCTTTCACGTATATAAATACTAAAAGCAGAAACTACAGTAGTAAAAGTAGTCTCGGCTCTGCTATAAGCAAGTTTAAGCAATAATCCTGCTTGTGCACTTGATTTTATTTCTTAATCATACACTTTGTAGGGCGCTGTATACTATACAAGATTATTAAATGTTATAATTTTATTACTTTCCTAGCCTAGCTATATAATACTTGTAGATAGGGCGGAAAGGGATTGTTAGTAATGGAGACTGAGAAACCCATTGCTAGCAATATACCCAACCAGGTCGACCTCTTCGCGGTTCTCCCTGGAAACTTGTGTTTTTTTTTTTTTTTTTTTTGATGGGTGATAATGGTATACCCCGCCTGCGCTAACGGGATACGCTGGCGGAGTACCAGTGAAGTGTGATAGATGAGAATGAGAAGGGTGACAGGGGGAACCGCGAGGAGGTCGACCTGGTTGGGTATATTGCTAGCAATGGGATTCTCAGTCTCCATTACTGACAATCCCTTTCCCCCCGGAAACTTGTGGTTAATTCCTGATGAATTCCTGATGATCATGATGGGCCAACTGGCCTGTTTTCATTTTCATCTATCACCCTTCACTGGTGCTCCACCAGCGTATCCCGTTAGCGCAGGCGGGTTTGCCATACCATTTTCACCCATAAAAAAACCCCGCCTGCAAATCTACCATGATAGCTTCCAGGAGGAACTGCGTGGAGGTCGACTTGATATTGCTAGAAAGGGCTGATAGGTTACTAACAATCCATTGGCTCAATATGACCAATTTATTAAGAGTTAATAAATTTAAAGGATTATACTTTATTTTTAAACTACCTTTTACCCGCGACTTCGTCCGCGTGACTGACCTTGAGCTAATAACCTTCTTCATCCCATATAGTACCTACACGTATCTCATAGTGATCGGTTAAGGCATTAGGATTTATAAGGCAATAAACAAACAAGCAAACATACATTCATATTTATAATATTAATAAAGGTAATTAAATTCTAAAAAAAATATGGCTACCTTCATGCTAATATATTTTTTAATATTTACGCCAAGTGGGTAACTTGTCCATAGAAAATCAAATTGTCGATGAAAAAAACCGATTTCAATTATGTCAAAATCAGTGTTTTTTATCTAAAAGTTAAATTTATGAAGCGTTTTAGATAAAATTTCTTTAAATAACGAAAAAAAAAATGTAACCGAATTGAGAAGCACCTTTTGTTTGAAGTCAGTTACAACAAATATAATCGGGTACAGTTGGTTTCAATATAACTTATTAAAAATGTAGTATTTTTAATAAGTTATGCCAGGTTGTCTGTAAGAGATTGCTTTTAGCGATAAGGCCGCCTTTTGTATATGCACATTCTGTATAAATACTCCTTGTATACATCTCTACTGTGCGCAATAAAGAGTTTATTATTATTATTATAAAAAATGTAAACAAACTTATATTTCGCCTAAACTAACTATAAACAGTCTGCTGATGTAAAATAGTGGTATAAATATTAAAAACTAAACTTAATCATATCATAATTGTTACTAATTTCGTTTCAAAACTAGGATAAATTTTTATTAAGCTAAACTTGTCTGCAAGAGATTGCTTAGCGCTAACTAACGCTGTATTTTATATAATTTCACATTACAATATATTGTATTATAAATAAATAGTGCAAAAGGTGTAAATATTATATATATATATATATATATATATATATATATATATATATATATACTGTTTCGCCCATGATACCCCCCATGCGTTGTCATTCCTGAGGACTCAGGTGTTATTCCTCTGTACCCAGTAAATTCACGCCATATCCCACCCTTCAAACCGAAACACAACCATGCAAACACAACTGCTTCACGGTAGAAACACGAATGGGACTGAGGTACCCAAGCAATCGACTTTTGTACAAAGTCTCCCTCTGGTATTTTATATAAAGTCCGCGAATCTAAAAATGCATATAAATAAATAAATAAATAAGTTGCATAGACTATACCTATTTACCTGCAGCCTACAATCGTTTGGTAACTCAGCGATTTAGCATCTGAGCATTATTGAATAACAGTGTCTCCGTTCCACATTTAAAAGTTCGGTACCAAGTAGGCAGGCAAGTCGCCTCAAAAGAATTATGTTAGTATTTTTTTGCGTACACACAGGTATCGCGAACGCGTCTCATTATCCCGGCCGGTCCCTTCAAAGATTGTATACAAAGCTGGGGTTACTAAGTACTCGAGTGGGTATGTGTGCGTTCTATTATTTAGTAATGCAGGTGTGCAAAACTCAATGGATTTCTGCTTCAGATGCCCTGTACAGCTGCTAATAGTTGCCTTGGTAAAATTTAGTGTTTCGCCAACCACCTGACTTGCGTAACCTTGACCTTGGGACGGCGAGCTGACGGTTAAACGGGTCCACTGTGGTGCGGAAGCGTCCCCCTAATGTTCGATCCACAGGGCGATCCGTTTGTTGTATTCGAAACTGGTATGTGAAATAAAACGAACGAGCTCTTTAGAGGACAGTTAGTAACGAGCTTGATCTCGACTCTTTGATAAAATGTATGACTGTGTATGAAGTATCTGCGAATGCTCCTTGCCGAGGTTTTCCTTAGAGACAACAGTATAAGGTTCTATAAAATAAATGTCAGTGATTAAGGTTTCAGGTTCGACAACGCACACGTGACACTCCTAATGTTGCCGGCGTCCATAGGCTACAGTGACCGTTTGCCATAAGACGGCACGTAAGCTTGTTTACCACCTTTGTGGTATAAAAAAGTTGTCTAATTAAATATATATTTAGGCTGGTGTTCGCGCGACAGCCGCTGATGATTAAAGATCACGAATTGAATCCGAAACTAGTTGAATATTCTCGTTCAAATTAGACGTAAGTTAAACCTACATTAAATGTATTGTTGGTTCCAGCTTGCTTTTACTTCGATAAGAAAAAAAAAGTTACTTGGTGGTAGGGGGCGATAGACTTTTCAAAAAGGTGATAATGGAATGGAATGGTATTCTTTATGGTATGAAAATGGAACGGTAACCCCGCCTGCGCTTATGGTGTACGCTGACGGGATACCAATGAGCATTTGAGAATGAAATCAGCTCAGTTGGTCCATCGTAGTGAATTCATCATAAATCAACTAAATTATTAATCTAAATTATTTTACCAAAGGGAGACTTTGTACAAAAGTCGTTTGCTTTAGTACCTCTGTCCCATTCGTGTTTCTACCGTGAAGCAGTTGTGTTTGCATGGCTGTGTTTCGGTTTGAAGGGTGGGATATGGCGTGAATTTACAAGGTACAAAGGGATAACACCTGAGTCCTTAGGAATGGCAACGCATGGGGGGTGTCATGGGCGAAACAGTATACTTTGTTATGTCCATGGTACTGCTCATGCCTATGCAACGGTTACCACTTTCTATCAGGTGAGCCGTCTGCTTGTTTGCCATTCTAAGTTGTATAAAAAAAAAAAAACTACGATGGTCTCCAGGGCGACCAAGCGGCGGTCGACTAAGTAGGGTATATTGTCTTGTACATGGAGGTCTTAGTGCTTGTTACCTTTAATCATTTTATCAGCCGTTAACTATCTACTGCTTAATATAGGCCTTCCCATAAGGTTTTGCCAGTAGTTGCCATGCTTGGCAGGCCGATTGGCAACCGTAGTTGAGTTTTGATGATATATTCAGAAGGACGCTGCTGTACATCCCTCAATCATTAAGTTCCCTTAGTCTCCTCTTACGACACTCACGGGAAAGGGCCTACTCTAAGCCGGGGCCACACTGCGAAGAATTAACCACGGCTTCCACGCCGTTACCTTTACCTATATATACCTAATCCTAAAAAAGTGCAAAGTGCAGCAGTGTGCATGCGCGAAGCGAAATGCACGATTGTAGGCGGCTGGCACGAGCCCCACGCCGCACACCTCACGCCGTATGCGTCACCATAACAAACCGTTACATGCTATTGCCGGCCATCAAATTCCGCCGCGATCTGTCCAGCCGCACAATTTGCAGCGGCCCGAGAGCGCGCCGATTTGTTAGCGGACAAATTATTTTGTCGTTGGCATTTTACGAAAGAGAAATAACAGTAAGTTTTGTTCGTACCATTAATTTTCACAAATTAAAACGCAGCGACACTTGAAACGCACGAACACACGCAGGCAACTTGGTTTTTTTTTTGATGGGTGAAAATGGTATGGCAATCCCGCC